TCAAAATTAAATGTCAATTTTATGAAACGTCGTTTTGTTTTACGAAAATTAATAAACCAACCCAACCTCACTTTTCCAATTAAATCTAACCTCACGTTTCCAAGTGCCATTTTTTGACGTTTCATTAAAAAAAAATTATTTTACTCACTCAGTGCGTCCTCGAAGATTTTCTTTCATATAAGCGATTCATAAGAAGCGATCTCGCTTGGAACAGCCACAAAAAGTAAACTCACAAGATACGAAATATCCATTCAAACCAACCTAACCTCACTTATTTAAGTGACATTTTTCACAACCGTTACTGCCGATGGAATAAGAAATAAAATGAGTTAAATATATTTCTTTTAATGAAACGTCAAAAAATGTCACTTTAAGACGCATAGGAGCTAGCGCCACCTACCGAAAGCCTAAAAATCAACGTTTGTAACTATCTTCTCAAAGACGTGTCAAAGACGCAATGTCACCAACTGTCAACACTGTAATCAACTTCGCAATAATTTGTCAAAATTAAATATCAATTTTTATAAAACATTTTTGAAAGAAAATTAATTTATGCTTAAATCATACGAAAAAAGGAATTTATTAACGTTTTTTTTAATATCAAACCTTTAGAAAGTCCTAAAAAAATTAAATTGAATTGAAATTTTGACATTTCAAATAATTATTACTCTGTCAAGTTGAATAATGATTATTCACCGCTAATATTCACTCTGGGAAAAACGTATATATATATATATATATAAGTATATATATTTATTTAATCTATGGTGAAAAATGACTATGAATCGTGGACAAAAGTAATTTTTAAATTAGGTGAGATTTTAAGAAATTTTTTTGAGGTTATGTAGAAACGTCAAAACACTTTAATTAAAATTCTTACTAGCGCCATCTTTTGTTGGATAGCTGTTTTAAATAACAATATAATTATTGTAATTATTATATGTAATATCTTATTATCTCACCTTAAAAAAGAGTAATATTTAACCATAAACTCACCAAACACAAATTTTTATAAATCTTTTTCCCCGTATTATCATTTACATCCGTATTATCAACAGTTGAAACATACATATGGACAATATTTAAAGCAGTGTTGTAAATAGCACTAATATAGTGCATATGTAAATGATCCACAGCAATTTGGGTTTTCCCCAACAATTTAAAAGCTTGTTGTAACTTGTCGTATTTAACACCATCGAAATAATAACACATTTGAGCTAAAACTCGGTCTAATTGCTCTTCGGTATACTCCAATGTTTCTTGTAATTTATTGGTTAAAGCTGCAACACATGTAAAGTGCCTGTAAGTATTAGCTGATGTTCTGCATTCGATTAAAAGCTCGATAGCACCAGGATAATTGTCTTCGTGTAATAACTTTTGTAATGTAAAATCGGTGTGATGTAAATTGCGAATGGTTACTAAACTTTTTAATAAATTCTGCACCAATTTTCGTTTCCTATAATTCGCTAAGATTCCTAAACTATCTGAAAATTGTCGTTCAGCTATCTCTAAATTCTTCCTACTTCCTCTACACAACCCCAAAGCTTCCTTTAATTGATCATATATCACCAACATATCTTGGAACTCCCCATTACAGGCCGTTTGATGCTCCAAAATTAATTGCAACACTTTTTTCGAGACAACCTGATGTTGTTGTTTGAGATTTTTGAAATCTCTTTGAATTTGATCACAGTCAAGTACATCAGGTAATTTCTAAAAAACAATAAAATTAAACTTATTCTAACTCTAAATAATCATAACTTACACTTAATTCAAATCGACAAATATCAAAATCAGGGCTCATCGAGAAATAAGCAGCCTCAATACTTTCTAAAATATCTTGATCGGCCGGTCGATCAGACTCCGTTACAGTTTTACTGTTTATTGAGAGCGTTTCTTGGGGGAAATGATAACTTGAATCCGAAAATCCCATCGAAGGGATTTTCGTGTTCTAAAAACAATAAAATTTCTTTGTTATGATTTATACTGTAAAGGATACGGTTGTTGTTTAAATACCTGCTTGTTTATTAACGATAAGATTTTATGCTTCAAATCATCCATTATTTTGTGATTAAAACTAATTTACACCCAATTTATATCATATTTATAGATATATGTGACAGGTTTTCTAAATTTTGAGGTTATATTTTTGTTAGTATGAAAATCTCATCATAGATGGCGTTCTTGTAAAATTAATTATTGCAAATATTAAATTTATTTTATTACGTTCTTGTGCCGCAAGACGTCTTGTTGCGGTAACCACATCCTTATTAAAATGTTATCCGATTTATTAGGCAGATTTTTGTTGTCTCATTTCCATAAAACTTTAGATGGAAATTTTGCGAAACTTTCTAAAAACACATTTAAGAAAGTTTCGAATAAAATCGATGTTCTCACATTACTTCCCATACTAAGACGCTATCTTATCCTAAGACGCTATCTTATCCTAAAACGCTTGTAATTCCTAAAATTAATTAATTTAAACATTAAAAACGACATTCTTATTAGTTTAAATAACCACTAAAAGATGGCGCCGCGCTGACACGTCACTTTGGCATTAATAAATAATTTTAATTAAATCGAATTAATTCATCATAAATTAATTAAAACCCTCGTTTCTTATTTAATTTGTAATTACATTTAACTTTTATTTTAAATTAAACCTAAAAAAAATGATAATAAAGAATGAATTAAAAACGACATAACCCCCAAAAGATGGCGGCACTTTAACAATTCACTTCGGCATTAATAGGGGTATATAAATAAATAATTTAATAATTTTACTTAAATCAAATTAATTCGTCCCAAATTAATTAAAACCTTAATTTCTTATTTAATATTATTTAATTTTTAATTACATTTCATTTTTATTTTAAATTAACCCTCAAAATTAAATTAAAAACGACATAACCCCCAAAAGATGGCGCCACTTTGACAATTAACTTTGACATAGTAGAGGTAAACAAATAAACAATTTAATAATTTTAATTAAATGAAATTAATTCATCACAACTTAATTAAAACTCCCATTTCTTATTTAATTTTTAATTACATTTCAATTTTACTTTAGATTAGCCCCCAAAAAATCATGGGATAGTAATTTAATACGTTAATTCGCCGTTAGATGTCACTGTTCTTGTTTAATATGACAGATGTGACATTATATAAACTATTTTGAGGTTATATTAAATAAAAATGAATAAATTACGCATTTTCTATTCTTCCACATTAATCTAAAATTCTTACATTAACACCAATTCAACAATTAAATATTCTTAAACATCTACACCATCAAATATTAATTATATTCGTTAAAATTATTCCATTAAAATATCTTCCAAAGTGTTGTCATTCTTTAAAGGAGATGGGCACAAATTCGATTCGCACTCCAAATATTGCCTCAACTCTAATTCCAGCTCGGAAACGTCCGTTTCATTTTCAACGGCGACCCCCAAAGCTTTTCGAACCCCCGGAATCGAAGCGATATCGCCGGGATTCACTTTTTTCGCTATATCTGTTAAATTATCGGTAATGTTTTCAGCTAGATTTATTTCCTCTTCAGATACAGCGGGGATTTGGGATAAATGTGCGGGGAGCGGCAAAGATAATCGTTGATATTGAACTTTATGTAGCTTATCTAGTAATTGTGACATTGTATCTAACTTCACTTGTAATTCTTGTTGCGTTTCTAACGTTTTTATGTCAGCTGCCATGTCGTCCAAAAATTCAACATCAATCCCATCGTTAGCCAAAGAACGCAAATCTTCTAATTTAATGCTAACGTTTTGTTGTGGTTTCGTTTCCAAAACAACTTTAACCGCTTCTTCCTCCTCCCGCAATTTTTTATGATCATCCAAAACTTTCTTCGTTTTTGTGTGCTCATTTCCAGTGAATAAATCTAGTAAGCTATCCGCAAGATAGGTGGCGTAATTGCTATCTTTTGTGAAATCAACAAGACTTTCGGCGTATTGCACGGCCGTATCCGAGCCGTAAGTTTGATAAATTAAATCAGATTCGTCTTTTGTAAGATTAGCGAATGCCGAATCATAACTGGGGGCGTAAGAACCGAATGCACCGTAATAAAGGGGTTTAACAGGCTTTGCTACGTTCCGACGGTCCTCGCGAAAACCTTGAATTTGTCCCGTTCCTTCTGTTAATTTCCCGGTTAAAGCTCCAAGTAAAACAGGACGCTTTTTTGTACCCGGAATCACTCCATCTCCGCCAACCTTAAATTTAAATTAATTTATTTTAAACAAATTAAGGTATAATTCAAGAATCCTCATGTTGCTTAAAAGTCGATGATTTCTTTAATACTCCTATAAATTTCGAGATTTTGACATTTTCATAAAATCCAAGATGGCCAAAAATAAATAATTTGTAAATATTTTTGTGGAGAATTAAAAAACGTTTAAAATGAGTCCAAACTCGACATATCTAAGTGTTATAGCATCTGAGATATCATTGTTTTTATAAAATCAAGATGGCCGAAAACAAAACACTAATTAATTGTGTCATTTGCGCGAATTTAAAGATTGATATGGGGTGTGATACATCAAATTAGGTTAAAATTTTCTGTTCTTTCCGAAAATATTATTATGTTTGGTGTCAAATTTGGTTGTTAAACATTTTTGATTTTAATGAAAAATCATAAATTATTTATCATAAATAATAAATACGATGTATTTAGTTAATATAATTTCCGAGATTTTGACATTTTTATATAATCCAAGATGTTAGGACCAGAAGTTATGGTCAACTTCCGGTTAGGAATGTCAACGTCATTTTGACATATTTGTAATCGTCATGAAAAAATCCTTTAAAATCAGCCCAAACATGATACTTTTCTCATTTTAATTCTCATATTACTCGAGATATAAAGAACTTCCGGTTTGAAATGTCAATGTCATTTTAATATATCCTTAATTTTTATAAAATGTGTTAAAATTTGTCACAAAAACAAAAATCAAAAATTAAGGTTGGTATTAATATTTAGAAATTAAATTGTTTAACTACAGTGAAATTCCCCTAACTCGAATCACTAAGGGAGGGGAAGAAAACTTCCAAGAAAATTTTAGGGTTATGCACGGCATAACCTCAAAATTTCTAGTTTTAGTTTTATTTCTAACGCGAAATGAGTTAAGACTGAGACTGAGACTGAGAATGAGAGTTTTTTAATGAAACGTCAAAAATGTCACTTAAAAGGAGATAGCGCCATCTATCGGAAAAGTCTACAAATGTACGTTCGTAACTATCTTCTCATCATGTCAAATATTTCAACGTACTTTAAAACCACGAGAAATACGATTGTGATTATTATTTGATTTTTTTTTATAACGTAAAATGAATGACTAAAACGAACCTCTATGACGCAAATTTCTTTTCAGTTTTATTTCTAAAACTGAGTGAGTTAAAATTTTTTGATGAAACGTCAAAAAAAATGTCATTTGAAAAAGTAAGGTTAGGTTGTAACACTGTTTTAAACTGACACGGCCGTTTTCGAAGACATCGGCCGCTAAAACATTGAAATCAAGGTTTGATCTCAACACGTATTTGTGAAAATGAACATTTCGTGCTTTCGGGGGCGGCCGATGTCTTCGAAAACGGCCGTGTTAGTTTAAAACTGTGTTATTTTTGTTTATCTATGTTATGTTCGTCCCAACCTCACATTTCCAAGAGACATTTTTTGACGTTTCGTTAAAAAAAATTTATTTTACTTACTCAGTGCGTCTTGGACGATTTTCTTTCATATCAGCAATCTACACAAGATCTCATTGTTCCGCAATAACAACTAATTCGTTACAAAAATTGAATGTACTTACTCTGCGTTTGAAACGGATCTTTCAGCTTCATTTAATGCGAAAATTGATAAATATAATCGTGATAATTATTATAAAAGTTTATCTTGACGTCACAAATGATTTTTTTAAAGATGTCGGTGCTTATTGACAAATCACCATGGTAACGGCAGGGTTGAAAACTTTTAAACGATAAATTATTTTAGTCGCAAAATTTTCGTACTTTTCTGCCGATGGAATAAGAAATAGCGGCATAACCTCAAAATTTCTAGTTTTAGTTTTATTTCTAACGCAAGAGTAAATAAATATCTTTTAAAGAAACGTCAAAAAATGTTACTTTAAGACGCATAGGAGATAGCGCCACCTGCCGAAAAAAACTTTAAAATATACGTTTGTAACTATCTTCTCATCAAGATTAATTATTATTTAATTTTTGCCTAAAACTAAAAACATTCAAGCTTAATGTTTTTTATTTTCTTTTTTTGAGATAAATGCATCATGTTTGGACTCATTTTAAAGGTTTTTTTAATAAAGAATACATCATGAAAGAACACCATGAAGTTGTCCATTTATCTATTATATGATAACTAACTTCAGGTTTAAAATGTCAAATTTGACATTTGTAATCTTCATTAAAAATCGTTTAAAATGAGTTTACTTCTTTTGAAAAACAAGAGTATTTCATCCATTAATATACGTTATAATCTCACCTAGTTTAATGTAAATAACTTTACTTTGAAGTTTATCAGATTGATTTTGTGCAAAAGATGATTTTTCCACACTTTCTTTTTATTTTTAACGCGTCTTTTGGTTCATTTCACATTGATTAAAAAGAAACCGTCGATTTTTAAGCCACATGATGATTGATTTTTTTCCCAAATTAAATTTAACTAACCAAAATATTTAAATTAGTAGTCCCATCCTCTCGTTGTCTAAGAAAACCCATTCCTGGACCTCCCCCTTTAAGAGCAAGCTTAGCTCTGGCTTCCCTCGCTGCTTGTTGAGCCCTCGCTAAAATCTCCTCAGGTTCCAAATCATCAGGAACAGCTTCAAATTTAGTTTGTGGCATCTTCCGCTTTCTAATACTAATATGTTCTCCAAAACCATCCCCATCTTGACTATGTTGATGAATCCCAGCTCTTAATTCTGGGGGAATCTCAAACCCGAAATCTTTACTGGTTAATTCTGGTATTAATTGGATCACCCAACCCATTTTTTCAGGTTGGAACAGTTTTAAACCGGCGTGTAATAATTTTTTACTCGCCTTGTAATAAACCGTATCAATATGGTTATATTCCATCGCGTTTGTACACATCAATTTAAAATCGGCGATAAAATCTTGCATATCGACGTATAAATTGTCATCGATTTTTTGTTTCATTGTGCTTAAATCCATGGGGCGCGAAATAATGGTAGAATATCCTGGTGCTATATTATCGGTAACAGGCCAAGCGAAAAATTGATTCGGATCTCGTTTTTCGATAGCTTTTAACAAATGATCCAACATTCTTTGTAACGGCGAGCGTTCTTGTCGTTGTCTAAGCACACAAGTTCTTGGTTCTCTTTGACTCGGACTCCCCAATTCGCTACAAACCTCATCTTTATCGTCTTTATCATCCAAACAATCATCAAAAATTTCATCCCTTTTACGTTTTTTCTCTTTATGGTGATGTTTATGTTTCTTTTCGCGGTCTTTATTTTTATCTTTCTTTTTCTTCTTCTTCTTACTCTTTTTATGGTGCGATCTAACTTGGTCTTCATAACCGGGGCCTTGATAGCCCCATTCAGTGTTGTGTTCGGGAGTTCCTTGACTACCCACTTTTAAAATCAATTTTAATCCTTGCGGTTTATCACCGTACGAATCCTTTTCACGTTTTTCACTTTTATGTTTCTTATGCTTCTTTATGTTATGTGAAAAATCCATATTTGAGTGGGTTTTGTTCGAATTTTTTTGATTTTTCTTGGATTGAACCCGTTCGCTTTGTTAGGAAGGGAAATTTGGCTTGATTAGACAAGGATGTTATAAGAAAATTCTAAAGGGGGAAAGAGATGGAAAGCGTTTGAAGTTGTTGTGTTTGGGGGAAATCGTTACCAATGGTGTAAAATTGAAAATAACTAAATTTTTTTTTAAATTTTGGGTTATGTTATGTAATCGATTTTATATTTTTGATTATAATGATTTAGATTGTTTTAAAAATTATCTATTTTTAATTTATTTTTTACGCTACGAATATTAATTAATTGAATTATTATCAAAATTAACTTACCAAATTACCAATCTTTAAAAATGAAAATTACCTTATCATCACTTTTCCACATTAATTTATTTCATTTTTAACTAAAACCAATTGTATTTAATTAAATTAACAAATTTTTATTGCTATTATAACAAATTTTAATTAATTAAATTAATTTTTTCCATCTATAAGTTTTTTTAGTAACACAAACATAACCTAAAATTGACGAACAACATAACCTACATCATTTATACAAGTATTTCACAAAAACGTGTTATTATTATTTCGTTTAAGCATGTCTCGCCCGGAACATTTAGCACCCCCGGAAATCGTAAATAAATTCATATTTTTAACAATTATTAAATTAATTAATCTTATTTTTTTAGTTTTACAATGAAACCGAGGCTAAAAAATACACACAAAAGTAATAAATCACTAATTTAGATAATCACCTCTTAATAAACATAACGTTTTAGCACCCGGATTATCGAAATTCAGGAGCAAATGTCTGAGCGTGCAATCGAGCTATTATTACTTCCGGAAGACACCCCATGCTTTTTACTTGACGTTGGTTGTGGTTCTGGGCTTAGTGGAGGTGTTCTCGAAGAACAGGGCCATTATTGGGTTGGTATGGACATTTCCACACACATGTTAGGTAAAAAATCAAAAATTAAGCTTAAAAAAATCTTTTTAACCTTCTTTTTTGAGTAGATGTAGCAACAGAAAGGGAAGTTGAAGGTGATTTAATGCTTGTTGATATGGGGCAAGGATGTCCATTCAAAGCAGGAGCTTTCGATGGGGCTATTAGTATATCGGCTTTGCAATGGTTGTGTAACGCTGATAAAACTGCTCATAAACCGGTGAAAAGACTTTATAAGTTTTTTAGCACTTTATATGCTTGTTTGGTAAGTATGTAAGAGTTTAGTTCATAAAAATTAACTTTCCCAATTAAATTAAGTTGTAGAAAGTAATTAATTATAAAAATTTGGTAAAAGTGAGGTTATGTTTTCAACCAAATTATTTTTTTATTCTAATTATTTATTGATTTTTGGACTACACTTTGATTTAATTCGTTATTTAAACAATCCTTAATCTCTTCGAATTAACTTTCTCAATTAAATTAAGTTGTAAAAAGAAATTAATTATAAAAATTTTATAAAAGTGAGGTTATGTTTTAAATCAAAATATTTTTTATTCTAATTATTTATTGATTTTTGGGCTACACTTTGATTTAATTCTTTATTTAAACCTTAATCCGTTCGAATTAACTGTCTCAATTAAATAAAGGTGTAAAAAGAAATTAATTATAAAAATTTGATAAAAGTGAGGTTATGTTTTCAATCGAATTATTTTTTATTTTATTTATTTATTAATTTTTGTACTACACTTTGATTTATTTTTTGATTTAAACAATCCTTAATCTCTTCGAATTAACTTTCTCAATTAAATTAAGTTGTAGAAAGAAATTAATTATAAAAATTTGGTAAAAGTGAGGTTATGTTTCCAATCAAATTATTTTTTATTCTAATTATTTATTGATTTATGGACTACACTTTGATTTAATTCTTTATTTAAACAATCCTTAATCTCCTCGAATAGATTTTCATCGAATTTTCGGTCTTTAAAAAGTTCCAAATATAATTTCCGATTAAAATTATTTTCTACATCTACATCAGTTACGATTCCTTTTACAACGTTAAAATTCACTTTAATTTCGGTACTTTCATCTAAATTGATTAGTTTAGTTGCTGTAAAATCTGGGCATGATCCAAAAATCCACTCAGAACTCTTCATTTCATCCCGAAAGTCTAATAATTCCGGGTAATCCTCTTCCGTTGGGTTTACATGATGAATATTATGGTTGGAGATTAAATTAATATCAAAATTGTCTTTGAGGTAAGGTAAAGTTGTTAAATATTCCTTGGATATTGGTTGTATTAATTCGGGGATTGTTATTTTTTGATTTAATTCGTTTAAATTTTTTATAGGACTTCGAGTCGATTGCGAAGCATTCGTTTTGATGAAATAACTTGGTTTTTGTAAACTTTTTGATAATATATTTTTATCAGCATTAACTAACAACGTGCAATGATGGTAGGAAGTCGTTCTTGTGTATCTAGCCGCTGTCCCAGAAACCTTGTCATAAATCATTCTTTTGATCAATTTTGAATCAACAAATTCATTTATCTTACCTTATAATCCCCATAAATTAAATCATCTCGATCAGAAACGATTATCTCCAATCCAAATCGTTTTAAAATCGCATTTTTAACCATTTCTAGGTTATGTTTCCGATTTAGGTCTTGATTGGAGGTGAAAAAGGTTAAATTTAAATTACCTGGGTCGTGATAAACGGTTCCTCCACCACTGTTTCTTCGCGCTAATTTTACACCACTCGGAGTAAGGGTTTTTAAGTGGGGTATGTTGCATTCAAGCCAAGGGTTTTGGAATTTTCCTAAAGATTTTATTTTTGGTGATTTAGTTGCATTAATGATATGAATCGTCTACACTAGCACTATCACTAGAACTAACACAAGACCTAGAACTAGTATCATTTGGATTTAGCCGCACGTCTCTTAAGACGGCTAAATCCGAATGATTCTAGTTCTAAGTCTTGTGTTAGTTCTAATGACAGTGCAAAACTAGAACTAGAACTAAAAATATTCCAGGTTAATATTATTTATTCTATCTTTTTTGTTTTTTGAGATACATGCATAAAGTTTGGGCTCATTTTAAAGGTTTTTTAATAAAGAATGCATCTTGAAAGAACACCATGAAGTTCTCCATACGATAACTAACTTCAGGTTTCAAAAATGTCAACCTCAATTTTGACATATTTCTAATCATTATTAAAAATTCTTTAAAATGAGTATAAACACGACATTTATCTTCAATATTAATGAAATTATGATCAACTTCCGGTTAGAAATATCAAAATCAATTTTGACATATGTATTTGGTGTTTTTTTATATAAGTTGACAACACTTTTTTAACTGGCGGCCATTTTGTCAGCTGTCAAGTGATTTATGTTTGGTTTGACATATTTAAATTATAATGCCAAGAATTAATTTCATGTTAAGTTAAAAAATTCATCTTTGTTTTATTCCATTTCAAAGTTCTATACCTCTATAAAAAACATGAAGTGAAAAACTTATCATAAAGATAACGAACTTCAGGTTTAAAATGTCAACCTCAATTTTGACATATTTGTAATTGTCATGAAAAAACCTTTAAAATCAGCCGAAACATGAAAGAATTAAATTTATTTTTTCTTTTTCAGTGCTAAATTGTGAGTTGTCATGAAAAATGAGGTTATATTTATTTAAAAAAATTTTTTTTAAGGTTATGTTTATTAAAAAAAATTTTAAGGTTATGTTTCGAAACATTTTTTAACCTTTTACGTTGTATATTCAAACATTTATTATAAAAAACGAATAAAATAGCGTACAAAAGCGAGAACTTAACGTTAAATAAAGCGTAACTTAAAAATAGCCTTTAAATCTCATCTTTTAACTCAATCTTACACTCATTTTTAGTCTTAATACATTTATTTTGATAAATACTTTTAAAATCACTAACTAATTTCCTTTTTTTATGATTTTTGCAATGAACATCAAACAATTTTTGAGCCTCTTTGATGTAACTTTTAGAAATCGTCCACTCAACGACTATTTTATTGTCAGTTAATTCCGCATTTTTCGTTGGATCCAATCCAATTTTGTATTCGGGGATTTCCAAGTCGAGCGAATTCATTAATTCGCTTAAAACGAGATCAACGTAGGAATTAATTCGTAAATCAGCTTTTTTGTCGTATTTGGTCGGTTGGAGATTAACGATGACAACTTTCCCGCCGTATTTTTTACACGACATTGGTAATCGACCGCTGGGGACGATCTGTAACGTTGTTCCTAAACAAATGTTTAAATCGGCGACTCGCGAGTGTAATTCGCACAGTTTTAAATCGAAATCCGGTAAATTATCTTCCCAATCTAAAATTGTATCGCAAAGCTTTCCTCTGCAGAATCGTTGAAATCTTTTGCAGTTTATATTTAAGTTTTTTTGCCCAACCGAGGTTGTTGCTTCAGATCTAACAAATTGGCTATCGCAAACATTGCATTGCTCAACAAACATATTCCCGTGTAACTCTCCTAAGTATCTTCGATGAACCCCCGATTTTAAATGCAACCCATCGATATTTTGACTCACAATGTACTTCACTAAACCTTCATCAATTAACTTTTTTAGTGCCATATGAGTTTTCGTTGGAACAGCTTCATTAAAAGAAATATTAATATTCGGTTTTTCCCCTTTTTTTTGTAAAGTCCACACTCCATTTGGTCCTCGGAAATCGGGGATACCAGCGGAAGTACTAATTCCAGCTCCGGTGTGTACAACAACGTGTCGAGATGTTTTTATCCACCCCGCGAGTATTTGGCACTTTTCGCGTACTTTTTCATCACTTTCAAAGATTTCTGGCACTCCTAATACACCTTTATCGTGGTACGGACTTAATCCGTCCGCGTAATTACACGACATCGCGCTTTAAATGCAATTAAATCAATTTTGGGGCCCAAATGATGTTTTAGAAATGATGCTGCCGGTAGATGGCGCTGATTTTGACAGGTTTTAGTTATTTTATACTCAGATAATTTTAGGTTGGTATGAAATTAAATTAAATTTAATTAAATTGAATTAAATAAACTTACCGATTACTACGCAAGGATTGTTAGTCCATAACATCAATAAATGTTTATTCGTAAAATCCCAATTCTTAAAAAACCAATGTTCAAGCGCTAAATTCGTGTAGATATCCCGCGATTTTGAAATTATGACTGTTTTTTCGATGGTTTTCGTTGATTTATTTCTTGTATTTTGCACGTTAACGTTAAATAAGATTGATTTGTTTAATAATTTGTTATAACACTGACCAAACTTCCTAAAACAAACAACATAACCAACAAATTAATTTAAAACAAATGAAGATTTTGACAGCTTTAAAATTTTTTAGGTTATAAAAATGTTAATTATTGTTTTAGAGTCGTTCTGCAAGAGCTGTTTTGCAATTTTACCCCGAAAATAGCGAACAAATGGAATTAGTAACCGCACAAGCCACAAAAGCAGGATTTTACGGCGGAATTGTTGTCGATTATCCAAATTCAACTAAAGCCAAAAAGTTTTTCTTAGTCTTAATGACCGGAGGAAATGTTCCTTTACCAAAAGGGCTAGGAGCATCAGATAATTCAAATAGTAATTGAGTCAATTTAATATTTATATTTTTTTAGTAATTTGTTATTAAATTTTTAGCTGTGGATTACACAGGGAGAAGAGAAAAAGCGAAACAACAAAGAGATAAACCTTTAAAAAATTCGAGGCAATGGATTTTAGAAAAGAAACAAAGAAGACGTAATCAAGGTAAAGAGACTAGAAAAGATTCAAAGTTCACCGGGAGAAAGCGATCTGGAAGATTTTAAAATTATTAATTTTTGTAATAAAGTAAGTTGTAAATAAATCAATTAAAAGCATTATTGGACTTAATTTAAATCAAAAAATTAAAGAAAAGCAATTTAAATAAATGTTAGGTTATGTTCATCTTTAGCTGTCAAAAAAATTTTAATAAATGTATTAAAAAACGATTCATTAAATAAATTGGATAATTAATTTAATAATCATTAAAATATTACTTTAAATAAATAATAAAATATTATATTTAATTAAAAAAATAAATAAATAAAAAAGTTATCAAGGGCCTGTCCGGGATTTGAACCCGGGACCTCTCGCACCCGAAGCGAGAATCATACCCCTAGACCAACAGGCCTGATATAAAACAACATTTTGTTACCAACATTTAAGCGGCAATCCCAAACGACAAAATTTTCATCAATTTTTTAATTTATAACTAAATTAACTTACATTTTTAACTAAATAACCATCAAGTTGAAGTTTCCTTTTCACTTAATTTCCCAACGTAAGTATTTATAGCACAAAATTTCGTGATATCATAACATAACCTATACATCACTAAAATAAGTGATGCGTCAAGAAATAAATTAATTTAAATTTACTTATAATTAAAACGTATTAATTTAAAAATTTTGAAGTACATTAATTTATTCAATAAGATTGTTTTAAATATTTAAATTTTAGAATAGAAATAATTTATAAAGTTATTTTTATATTTCAACGTTGGCATCATCAAAAAGTTTCCCTCTAAATGTCAATAAAAAATGTCAAATTGTCTCAGATGGTTTATTTAAAAAAAAAATAACAAATTTATTTACATACTTCAGAAAATGCATTAAATTCGTTTCAAACATGATTATAGAGGACATCCAAAAAGAATTCTACGAATATCTCGCTGGAAAAGTAAGCAAATTAAATATTTAAAATCATAACCTACAAAAAATTTTTTTTAGCAAATCTACATCATAATAAACAACGATATTGATAGTATATGTTCTTGTAAGATCCTCCAAACGTTATTAACCCACAAACATACGTTATATACATTAGGAATCGTGTCTGGAATTAAAGATTTGAGACGTACTTATCGCGAAAATTGTGAAGATGTGAAATGTTTCGTATTAATTAATTGTGGGGGGACAATAGATTTAGTTGATTTATTAGAGCCGGATGAAGATGTGATTTTTTTCGTTTTGGATTCACACCGTCCCATGGAATTATGTAATGTTTATAGTGATGGGCAAATACGAATGTTGTTACAGCTAGATGAAGAGCAAAAAATACCTGAGTTTGAAGAGATTTTTCGAGATGATGAAGTAATATTATTTTAAATAATGTTTTATTTAATTATAATTATAATTTTTAGTCAGAAAATGAATCAGATCATGAAGATGGTGAAGAAAATAGTTCAAAAAGGCGTCGATTAGATGAAGATGCAATTTTAAAACGTCGTGAAAGGAGGGTTTGGGAGGAAAATAGGAATAAAATTTTATTCGAATACAGTCAATTTACGTATTATTCGAAACCTGTTAGTAAAAAAAACATAAAAAGATATTTTAATTTTAACAAATTTATTTTTAGAGTGCCATTTTTTTATTTGATTTAGCCTGGAAGTTAAATAAAGACAACAAAGATTTATTGTGGTTAGCCATATTATCATTAACTGAACAAATGGTGTTTGGAAAGATTGATAACACTCAGTATGTCTTAGAAACAGGGAATTTGCAGGCACATGTTACAAGGTTGCAAAATAGGGCTAACGATACCGACGTTTTAACATCATTAAAAATTATTTTTGAGAAGGATTTGAAGTTGTGTTTGTATCGCCATTGGACGGTGTCATCCAGTTTAAAATATTCGATGTTTACGGCGTGCAAAATGAAATTGTGGTCGTTAAAAGGCGATAAAAAATTACACGAATTATTAGCTGATATGGGGCAAGTTAATATTTTAATTTTTATTTATAATAATTATTTAGATCACGCGCGACAGCCAACTTTATAGTTTTTCTTAACTATCTTATTGGGTAAAGTATTAAAATTAAAATGAATGCTCCCAAGTCCATTGGAAGAATGGAAACAAGCTTACTATGCTAGCAAAGAGAGTGTCATTAAATTTATTTATGATTAGCTTCCACAATACAGAAGATATAAAGAAAATATTTGCTATTAAACAAATATTAAGTTCTGTGGTACTGATAGAAGCAATCATTTAATTCCACAATGTTGAAAATATTGTAAACATGAACCGCGATGTGTCAAATGTGCTGGTAAACATCTTACTACATAGAAAATAGATTCGTAGAAATGAAACTCTAAAAAGAATCTACTAAAAATTGAACGCATGTGGCGCCATCTGTTGGGGATATTTTGAAATTATTCAGCTAAGAAGCGAACCACTAGAATACAGGTTGGATTGGGTGTATAATATATAAAAACTACAACCACAGAATAACTGTTTAGAAACTGTTTGGAGCTACTTTGCGGCTTCAAAATGAAAAATTAACCGTTTTTGGAGATAAATATGATAAATTAAAGCAAATTTAGTTTCCTAAATTCCTCCCTTTGCTACAATTATTTACTAAGGTTAAGTTTATGTCACGAGCGTAGCGAGTGGCCATAAATTTAAATTTAAGTCAATTTTTGAATAATGTTTAAACGTCACTGTGACACAAATTCAATGTTACCAACTGTAACCAAAGTCAAAATTAAATGTCAATTTTAATGAAACGTCCACTACCTTATAATATAATTACTTTATTAATGAGTTTTTTAAAATAAAAGGGTAGTCAAAGGGGTAGTCATTTTTCACAGAGTGAATAATAGCGGTGAATAATCTTTATTCACGCGTAATCAACTTGACAGATTAATAATAATTATTTGAAACGTCGAAATTTCAAAAAACCTGTTAATTTAAACAATTTAATTTAATTTTTTAGCACTTTTTAAAGGTTTGACATTAAAAAAACATAAATCAATTAATTTTCGGAAAAAACATATTTGACATGATGAGAAGATAGTTACCAACGTACATTTTTAGACGTTTTGCGACAGATGGCGCTATCCTCTATGCGTCTTTATCAAGTGTCATTTTTTGACGTTTCATTAAAAAAAGTTTATTTAACTAATTTTGTGTTAGAAATAAAACTAAATCTGGAAATTTTGAGGTTATGCCGTGCGTCTTATGATTTAAGCATAAATTAATTAATTTTCGTAAAACAAAACGACGTTTCATAAAATTGACATTTAATTTTGACAAATTGTTGTGAAGTTGGTTACAGTTGGTGACACAAAATTTGTGTGACATTGACGTTTAAACTTTATTCAAAATTTAATTAAAAACATTAAGTATAGTATTCCACTCACATATAATGAGCTATTACAGAAGAAGACCACAAGATTAGTCACTTTAGTGTTTAGTTTTTAAGAACTTAATAGAGATAAACTAATATGGTTGGTCAATAATGACTAATTTTAATAATTAAAAAAATGTATCACAATTTAAAATCAATCATTTTTAGGTTGCCCTTAGTCCAAAGCAAACAGAGTTTTAGTTCGATGGATTTAACGTTACGACAAGAATTTCAAACAAACTTGGAACGTTTATCAGAGAAATATGGCCTCGCCGATATAATTTATGCCTCATTTACGCTTCAATACGGGTATAGAAATAAATTTGCAGCTTCTGATGTTGTTTATGGTTTAATCGCTATCCTTGAAGCAAGTGTAAGCGCCAAAAAAATTAAATTAATCTCTATTATTAATAATAAATTTTTTTTTTGTTCTAGGGATTTGAAAAGAACCCAAACGAATGCTTCCATTCCGTTTTAGACGGATTATCGCATTCCAATTCTTCGGAAACGTTAAAATCGGGGATTGAGCGTGCCAAATCCATCGTTCAAACTTTATTTAAAACTGTACAAAGTGCCTTAGATATGAAATTAATCATTTCGGCGGGACCGTTTATTTATTATATAATACAAGAGGTAGTTTTTAATTGCTTAATTTTTTTTTTATATATTTTTGTTTAATAATTTAGACTTGTTTGGATTGGATGATGTTTTCAAAACCCCACATCCTCTCATTACTCGCCCAATTTATTTTAAGAGCTTATGTGGTTATGTCGAGGAATAAAAAGGCTTCCACTCTTCCATTAATCATCTCCGCGCCTTATAATTTAGATACCGGAGTTTGCGTTTTAATGGGAATTCCACCTTTATGTGAAAACTCCCCGAAAAAGTATTTAAATACGATTTTTTTTTAAATTTTTTGTGTTAAATTAATTTTTTTTTTAGTTTATTTGGAAAAGCTTTTGAACAAGCAGCTGAAAGGATAAATTGCGATTCATTTTGTGATTATTTCGATACAGCCTGTATGTTAATACTTTTTGTTGTTTATTAACAAATTAATTTTATTTGTTTTAGATTTTCAACTACAAACGAAGAATCGAACGAGATTTTTCGACTCGTTAACCACATTACTCAGCTAATTATAATTAGAATTAGTCCTGATCTCTTTATTTACTTGATTTTTTTTATATAAAAAGTTTGTTGTAAGATTAACGATTAAATAATTGTGTTTTCTCCAGCACAAAGTCTTTTACTTTTTGAATTGTAAGCATTTTGTTTGATTTTGTTGTCAAAATTGACGTTTTTGAAGCATAGTAAATTATGTGGCGCCATCTTTTAATGCTTCCACGTACTTTACACACTAAGATTTCAAAAATTTTATTTAACCTCATCTCTTTATTTACTTGATTCTTCTTATATAAAGAATTTTTTGTAAGTCTAACGCTTTGGTCTAACGATTAAATAATTGCGTATTTATGAATTATAAATATTTTGTTGTTAAATTTGACGTTTTTGTGGCGCCATCTTTTAATATTTACCCGAACTTTACACTCCATCATCTCAAAAATTTAATTACTCCTGATCTCTTTATTTACATAATTTTTCTTATGCAATAATTTTTTTCTAAAATTAATAATTAAATAATTGCGTTTTCCCCAGCACAAAGTCTTTTAATTTATGAATTATAAATATTTCATTGTTAAAATTGACATTCTTGTGGCGCCATCTTTTAATATTTAACAGAACTTTATACTTTTTATTTACTTGATTCTTTTTATATAAAAAATATGTTGTAAGATTAACAATTAAATAATTGCGTTTTCTCCAACACAAAGCCTTTTACTTTATGAATTATAAACATTTTGTTGTTAAAATTGACGTTTTTGAAGCAAAACAAATTATGTGGCAGTTTATAACTAAGATCTCAAAAATGTAATTTCTCTAAAATATTTTAATTTAAAATTAATAATTTAGTAATTATCTTTATCATTATTACAGTTTTACTTTTAAAAAGTCTCAAATTAATCATAATTATTGGTAATTAATTTAGTAAGTAGCGCCATCTATCAATACTTCCACCACAACGTTGTTCTAACCTCAAAGTGTTCTTAAATTTGTTAGTATTTTGATTATTAATAATAATTAATATTTACTTAACGGAAAAAAATAACAATTTGGAGCAGAAACTTTCAATTTAGATTAAAATTTTAAATTGGTTAATAAATCATATTAGTTCTCCTCCGACATGGTTAATTATTTATTAAAGGGGCTATTTTAATAAAATTAAATAAAACAATCTTAATTTCAACATCTAGACCTTTATTTAGCGATCATCAGGTTTTTTTTAATTAATAATCGTTTAGGTTATGTTTATTGTCCCAACGTTTTTTACTCTTATTCAAATTACAGCGTTCAGCTAATAATTACAATAAAAAAATTATTTTATTTCAATCTTCGTCAATTTCCAATTGCTCCGTCTTCGTGTTCCTTCGTTTATTACTTATTATTGTGTGGCGATTGACTAGTATCTATCCTCTCATTTCTTTATACGAACTTTACGAATAAATCGAACATTTATTTAATAATTTTCCTTAATTAATTAAGAGTCAATTTCTTGTAAGTCCCAAGATGGTCAAATAAAGGGAAATAATAATTTAAAAAAACCCAACAAAAACATACAGTGAAGTTTATATTTAAACAAAATCAAATACAAAATCACTCGGTTGTTAATTAAATTATTAATAACCGCAATAATTATAATAATAATAATAGTTTATTAACCTTCCAGTTAGAAGTGGGAGGAAATCTAACTGTCTTTTTTATCATCTTTATATTTTTATAAATTTAATTCTTTTATAATCATTTTTTTTTAAATTCTTTTTAATATTTCCTGCTGTTTGATCAAAAAAAGATAATAAATCAAAAAAAAATCTAGTAAAACAGGAAGAAAATAAAATAAACACAAAAATCTAAGAAACCTCCTTGTTTCTCGTTCTTTTCATCATCAATTATTGTTTACTAACAACGTTCTAGGGAAATTAACTTAAAACCTACAGAATTGGTGTGGGGTGAGATTTGACGTAGGCAAATTCGATAGTTTTGAACGTAAAAACGGACAATCAAGGCAAAAATAAATAAAGTGACTGTATATATATTTTTTAAAAAGGGAATTAAGGAACTGTTCCGTCGAAGGGAAAAAACACCATCCGGACTTACACATTTTTCTCAATTTTTTTTGATTTTTTTACATTTTTCTTCGCAATTTCGTTAATTTTTTTTACACCGGAACGTAGTTGCCTTTCGGAGTATACCAGAAACGGCCGGTGGCGAAGCGTCTCAACAATTCACTACTAAGCAATCTCTTCTCCTTCTTAATTTTCTTTAGGATACCTTTATTTTCTTGGGCTCTTCTCGACAAATAAGGGAGTACTTCGTTTACGGGACCGTAAGGGATATATTTATATGCTGAATAACCAGATTGACCTAAAACACAACACAAAATAGTATATTAAAAAACTAGTTTCGTAAGACACCTTCGAAATGCACGAATTCAAGTTTTAAAAACGAGTTTTAAAGTTAGGTTAAAATATTTGACATGATGAGAAGATAGTTACAAACGTGTATTTTAAGGATTTTCCCGACAGATGGCGCTATCTCTTATGTGGTTCTTTTTTTTCAAGTGACATTTTTTGACGTTTCATTAAAAAAAGATTTATTTAACTCATTTTGTATTAGAAATAAAACTAAAACTAGAAACTTTCGAGTTGCGATGCGTCTTTGACGCACGGCATAACCTCAAAATTTCTAATTTTAGTTTTATTTCTTATTCCATCGGCAGTAACGATTGTGAAAAATGTCACTTGAAAAAGTGAGGTTAGGGTGGTTTGAAAAAGTACTAGTGCTAAGTACGAGTTTACTTTTTGTGGCTGTTTTAAGCGAAATCGCTTCTTATGAATCGCTTATATGAAACAAAATCTTCGAGGACGCGCTGAGTGAGTACAATAATTTCTTTTTATGAAACGTCAGAAAATGTCACTTAGAAAAGTGAGGTTGGGACGTACAGATAAATAAACAAAAATAATACATTTCCCAACACAGTTTTAAACTAACACGGCCGTTTTCGAAGACATCGGCCGCCTCCGAGAACACGAAATTTTCATTTTCACAAATGTGAGTAAAGATCCAACTCATGGTTTTCAATGTTTTAGTGCCCGCGATGGCCGGGGGCGGCCGATGTCTTCGAAAACGGCCGTGTTTGTACTCGAAAATGATGTAGAGGATTCAAATCACACTTTTCCAACAAAATCTAACCTCACTTTTTCAAATGATGATTATGAAGATAGTTACCAACGTACATTTTTAAACTTTTTGCGACAGATGGCGCTATCTCCTGTGCGTCTTTTTCAAGTGACATTTCATTGAAAATATATTTATTTAACTCATTTTGTGTTAGAAATAAAACTAAAACGAGAAATTTCGAGTCTTTGACGCACGGCATAACCCAAAAATTTCTAGTTTTATTTCTTATTCCATCGGCAGTAACGATTGTGAAAAATGTCACTTGAAAAAGTGAGGTTAGGTTGGGTTAAAAAAGTACTAGTGCTAAGTACGAGATTACTGTTTGTAGCTGTTTCAAGCGAGATCGCTTCTTATGAATCGCTAATATGAAAGAAAATCTTCGAGGACGCACTGAGTAAGTAAAATAATTTTTTTTAATGAAACGTCAAAAAATGTCACTTGGAAAAGTGAGGTTAGGGTCAAAGACGCAAATTTCAAGTTTTAGTTTCAATAAGCATCGACATCTTAAAAAAAATCACTTGTTGCATCAAGATAAAGTTTTATAAGAGTATATTAAAAAACTAGTTTCGTAAGATATGCTTGAAATGCACGAATTAAGTCTTTTAATGAAGGAGTGCTTTAAGTCTTATGAAACGCGTTTTTTATGCTATTTTTTGTAATTCGCGTTTCTATCCACTTTTTTAATAAAAATAAAATAAATTTTGACAATGTAAGGAAATAGGCATGTAGCAGTTGGTAACACTTAAAATAGAAATTTGAATTGACAATTAGAAATTGTCAAAACATAAAACGTCAAAATTGAAATAAGAGAAATTGTTCAGAGTTCAATCATTGTGAACCTTGAAATTATTTGATGCTAAGAACGTGTTTAAACATTCATAGACAAAAATTGTCATATGGACAATTAGAAAAATTAATGACCCAATGTTACCAACTTGAACTGGTTCCTTAAAATGTTACTAAAATCTCATTATGTTGCGAATTATAAAAAATAATTTTAAAACACAAAATAAACTTAAAAACAAGATAAATACCTAATGGAAAAGTAATATAATCGCACATAGCAAGTAATTGCCCAAAACAGATCACTTTATCAACCGGCTCGATGCCAATTTCTTTCATTTTTTGAATAGCAAATCGAACTGTGTCCTCGTTATGCGACGCAACCATAATTCCAATCTTTTTCATGTCCTCCCCTTTAGTTTTCATCTCTTTGATACGTCTCAAACATTCCGTTAACGTTTTATGATACATTTCAGTAGTTGCCTCATACGAAGCATTCGTTGGATCGGGATAACCCAAAGCTGCAGCTCTCGCTCTTTCCTAAACAAAATTTTAAACATCACGCCACATTTTAATTATGTTATTAATTCATACCTGTTCTAAATAAGCTCCACGAACTAATTTAGCCCCAAAATAAAAGTTTTGACGTTTAGCTTGCTCCAAATCGGTCGAAACTTCGTTAAACGCCTCACTTAAATAACATTGGTAAGTATTAAAAACGATCGCTTTATCTTTGTTGTATTTTCGCATAAATTCGAGGGTAATACGTGAGATGGCCGGTTGAAAATAGGTTTGTTCGGCGTCGACCATCACTCTCACATCCATATCTTGAGCGGCTTTCACTATCGTATTTAACCTTCTAATCATATTCTTAAACATCTCCTCTTCCTTCGGCGACAATTGGGTGATTAATCTCGCCATTCGTCCCGTTTTTAAATCCGGAACGCGGAAGGTGGTGTTTAATTCTTGGTTTTCATCGATAATTCCAGACCAAGGGAACAAATGGAGAATACTAAAAACAAAACGATATTAATATTATATTATTTCAAGTAAATAATTAAATTGTTAATAAAAAAAGTGAGGTTATGTTTACAAAAAATCGTTGGGTTAGTCTTTTTAGCGCAATATATCGGATGGTTCCCCCTAACAACTAATTTTTAACAAACAAATACAGGTTGTTTTCAATTAATTTAATACAATAAGCTGGTACTACTTGAAAAAAAGGGGGCCTCGTAAGAGATACTCACTACCCTTTTTTCTCACCTGCGGTCCCTAAAACGCAAAAGGATTATTTAAAAACGTCCCAAATTCATTTTTAACGTACTCATCATACACTCTAAAAAGGGGGCTTAAAATTTAAAACTTAATTAAACTACTTAAATAAAAAAAGCTTTAAGTTTGAGGTTAGGTTTTGAATTATTCATTTTTGCTCAAAATGAACGTTTAAACTAAAATTATCAATTAAACATAAATGATGTATTAATTTATTAATAATAAGCAACAATAATAAATAATTCATTTTAATTAAAATTAATTAATCGTTTAAATGTTTTAATTCAATTTAAGTTGGTAGCCAGCGTTGCCAACCTATGCGGACCAAATGTTGGTTGAATTAAATAAGAAATCTTTTATAACAAAAATTGTTGCAAATTTTATTGTTAACAATATTGCTCTCTTGCACTTTTGCTCTTAGATACGTCAATATCGAGATAGATACGAAAATTTGATGAATTCGTTGCTTTTTCAAGTTATTAAAGGTAACACTTGGGAATCGGAGCATGTTATAAGAAAACTTTTATAACAAAAATTGTTGCAAATTTTATTGTTAACAATATTGCTTTCTTGCACTTTTGCTCTTAGATACGTCAATATCGAGATAGATACGAAAATTTGATGAATTTGTTGCTCTTTCAAGTTATTAACGGTAACATTTAGGAATCAGAGCATGCTATAAGAAAACTTTTATAACAAAAATTGTTGCAAATTTTATTGTTAACAATATTGCTCTCTTGCACTTTTGCTCTTAAATGCGTCAATATCGAGATAGATACGAAAATATGAAAATTTTATGAATTTGTTGCTCTTTCAGTATTAAGAATTTAATTCAGTATTGATTTTAACGATGTGTTCATAATACTTTGTTAAAATTTTGAAAATCGTTAGATTAAGTCGTATATCGGTAGATCTATCGATAAATTGGTAGGGTTGGCAACGCTGTTGGTAGCTCCGACTCCGAGTGTAGTTGTTGGCGGATCTACGAAAAGGACGCTGTAAGCTTTGCAAGATTTTAAATCGATTTTAAACGATTTTTAATTAATCTCCTGTTTTAAATCGTGAAATTAATCGATTTTCACCCAAACATCATAAACAAGGTGAGTGAGTAAACGTTTTTATTGAGAAATTGTTGATTTAAATTATCACGTTTATGAACACATCTCCGCCATTTTTGTTTTGTTTTTTTTGTTGTTGTGAAAATGAGCTTAAATATCAATAAATATCGATGAATCATCTTAATATTTAAACATTAATCATTGAATTATCTAGACAACAACATGTTTTGAAATAATTAATACTGGATTTTAGATTTTGAACAGTAAAATTGGTGTTGGCATCACGAAGTTGGCTTCTATTGCATTGTGGGTAAAATATTTCGTTTTATTTTTACTCATTATAAAAAAATCAATATAAAAAACAACCTGTTTATTATTAAAATCAATAAATGGTTTATTTAGCGATTCATTTATTATTAAAACGAAAAAAACCATTCCATCATTCATTATTATTGTTATTAATTTCGAGGAAATTAAGTTGGCATCACTGATTGTCAAATGTCAAATAAAGACGTATTTTTTGAATGTTAGTTAATAAACGGTTTTATTTGTAAATTTTACTAAATCTAAATCTTTGTTAATAATAGGAATGAAGCAAATAAAAGGATTTAACGAAGAAAACGTACCCTTTGCTATCGGATGTGAGGTTATCGAGGAACTTCTGTACGGAGGCTTGATCGGTGATCTTAGCAGCTTTAATTTTCGCCTCAAGATCTTGCCGGGTCATGTGATGGGAGAGAACGTTTCCTTCGCCACCAACCATTTCCGTCATGTACCTACGAGATCTCATGATTACCTCTGAGAGTTGGAGCTGACGGGAGGAACGAAAACAGAAAAAAAATCGAGTCTTAGTCTATCGGACTCCTCGAGACACCAAAAGAAATCTCATTTCAATTTCTAAATATTCGTTTTTATTAATGTAAGGTAAATGTTTGATATTCGTTCGTATTTTGTGATTATTTCTTTTCTTTTTTTAGATAACTTACCAATAATTGCGGTCTACCTAAAGCTGTAAGTTTAATCGCGGTGATTCCGGTACCGTATGTTGCGCCTGAAATTAATACACGTATTAACAAAAACGTTTTATGAATCTAATGAAAAGCTATTTATGTACGAAAAGCGAAACATGAATGAGATGAACTAATTTGCTACAAAAAAATCAAAAAATTAATCAATTTTTTGATTATTTTATAAAGAAAAAAAGCGAAGTCTACTTAACAACAAATTACTGGAAGAGAAATGAATAAAATGCTAGATACATAGTAAAAAAAAGTAGTCATTCTAGAGTTTATAACAAAAAATTAAAAAAAAAGTATTAAATACTTCAGCAGCTCAAAAAGAAGGCGGTCCTACATAAAGAATAAATAATACACATAAATAAAATGCGGTGTATACAGTGTACGGTATTTTTTTAAAGAAAATAAAACGGGTCATACAGCGGTTAAGGTCCTTATGCAATCCGGATTTATAATCGTACTCTGAAAAGAAAACAGAACGTCAAGAAAATGGTTCATTTTTGTTGCTAAATTAAATTAATCGCGCTGTTTGTGTTTGTTTTGGTAAAATTAAATTAAAAATAATTGCAAATTAATTAAAATAAAATTAAAATCTCTTTTCTTTTTAAAACTAAAATTTAATTAATTATATTTTTATGTTTTAATTAGGTTTACATCTGCGGATTTGATACCCACACTTTGAGAGACGAAAAAGATTAACACCAAAACTTTCTTTGGAGTGAGATAGTTTACCCTTCTTCTATATGCTTAAGGAAGTTAATGTAGAAACCCAACAAGTGGTGTTGATAATAAGAAGATAAGGAATACATGGAAAACGCAGAGTTGGAAAAAAATGATGTTTAAGGTGATTATAAAAATTGACCACAATAAATATGGAGGTAGAAGTTTTTTGAGCCTTGACTTCCTTCAGTTTTTTTCTCCATCCATCTCTTTGTATTCTGATGAAAGCGGATATAGGCATCTTTTTATACGTTTCGTGATTGTTCCTGGATCTCCATTCCCCGTCTATGATTTCGCTTAAAATGCAATATACAAAAATATATTCCCGTAGAAACCAGGGCGTACCAATTTACTTTGTCCCACATAAAATGGAACATGTCTGAATGTTCCTAGTTCAAGACCTAGAACTAGAATCATTCGGGTTTAGCCATTTTGAGAGGCGCTAATCCAAATGATTCTAGTTCTAGGTCTTTTGTTAGTCCTAGTGATAGTGTAAAACTAACCCTATAACGCACGGTTAAGAAAAAAACTTTCAGGTGTTAATATCAACTTTAATTTTATTGTTATATTCGTAATCTTTATAAAATAACCTTTAAAATGAGCCCAAACTCGACATATTTAACTTTAATATTAATGGAAATACAATCACTTCCGGTTTGAAACGTCAATTTTGACATATTTGTCATCTTCATTAAAAAACCTTTAAAATGAGTCCAAACATGATGCACTTATCTCAAAAAAGTTAGAATGAAAAACGTTAAACCGGAAGATAGCAATTTAATATTTAAATATTAATACTAACCTTAATTTTTGTTTTTTTTATTATAATTTTGTTTTTGAAGTTGCTTATATCTCGAGTAATATTGGAATTAAACGTATCATGTTTGGATTTATTTTAAAGGACTTGTCACGACGATTACAAATAAATCAAAATTGACGTTGACATTCTTAACCGGAAGTTGACCATAACTTCATTAATATTGAAGATAAATATGTCGTGTTTGTACTCATTTTAAAGAATTTTTAATGATTACAAATATGTCAAAATTGACATTTTAAATCTGAAGTTAGTTATCACATAATAGACAAAGGGACAACTTCACGGTGTTCTTTCAAGATGTATTCTTTATTAAAAAAAATCTTTAAAACGAGTCCAAACAAGACGCACTTATCTCAAAAAACAAAAATGGTAGAATAAAAAACGTTAAACGCGAAGTTAGCAACAATGAAGATAGCAATTTAATTTTTAAATATTAATACCAACCTTAATTTTTGATTTTTTTATTATATTTTTGTTTGTGACTAATTTTAACACATTTTCTAAAAATTAATAGTATATCAAAATGATATTGACATTTCAAACCGGAAGTTGACTATAACATTATTAATATTGAAGATAAATTTGTCGTGTTTGTACACATTTTGAAGGACTTTTAATGAAGATTACAACAACTTGACAAATGGACAACTTCACGGTTTCTTTCGTGATGTTATAAAATTATAAGAATGCAACAAAATTTAAGTACGAAGGCTTGTTAATTGAACTAAAACTAGAACTAACATTACAAACTTTTGTGTTTTGCCGTGCGTCTTTTAAGAAAAGGTTTGACGTTTCGGGTGCTATGTTGCAACCTTCTTGAGAAACTGATTCGAAGTTTACGCAATAGCCTAAACTAAAGATCTATTATTGTTTTTAAATCAGTAAACTCCGAACTATTTGTTGTGATAAACCCTAGCGTTCTAAAGGCACCAACCGATGTTCTGTCGATATGTTCATTGAAGGACAAACCACATTCTAAGATCTTTCACTATTGAGATATGTGATAGGTGATCCACTCCAAGCACATAATCAAAAAGTGTGATGTTATGTTTCTGATTGTATGCCATTACCTGGTATTTGGAAGTATTTAAGGTTAACTTGTTCTTAGCACACCACAAATAAAGTCTATCTAAATCTAGCTGGAGTAATTCACAATGCTGCTCATAATCAACAGTCAGAGGACGATTGTTGTTGCTCTTGTTAAGAAGTTGTTGGAAATATTCTCGCCATGCTTGTTTGGTGGTAACTATTATATATTATCAGCTCTTTTCCTCGCCTCTTCGATTTCTTCTTTCCTTTTTCTTGTTCTTTGTTGCAAATATTTTCTATGTAGCAATCTTTCATGGTAAATGTTGACAACAATAATAATTTTATGATTTAAGTTGTTTCTACTCAATTATTTTATAATAATTTTTATTTTTAGGTTTCCACAACGAATTTTAATTTGATTTTAACCCGCAATATAATCCTGGAAAGGAATCAAACTTAAGAACAAAATATTGCGAAGACGAAGCCCAACAAAAATTCATAATCGATCCATGATTACGAGCTGCTCAGCTGGATTAAATCTCAAGGTAGGTGCAACCAGCGATGTTATACTTCATCATATAGTGTTGTTACTAGTGATGGAATGGATATCCGGCCATCTTTTAAAATCTGGCCATGTGTTGGACGCTGCAGATAATAATCAAGTTCAACCCCAATAGGACTTTTTTCATTGAATACAACTTTATTTATCATTAGTAACCTCATTGCAACAATCCCAATACGATATATAAAATCTCTTGTAGTTTCGTCTAATTTTCTTCTCTTCGCTTGTAATTCATCACCACATTTATTACTAACACAACTGTCACTGTTATCACTTTCGATTATTAATTAAAAAATCCTCTTTTTAATACAAAAAGCCGTTTTGAAAAATCACTTTTAGTTCTGAGAAATAAATTTTTAAAATCGACAATTATTTCGAATATTGCCATTTTCGCCGGTTAAGTTTTAAAAATTCGTATAAAATCCACTTCTTGGAATATGAGTATAAAAATTTGCAAAAGTGTTAATAAAAGTGTCCTTTTTCCAATGAACCAACCCGTTTTGAAAAATAACTTTTAGTTTTTGAGAAAACAATATTTGAAATTTTGATAAAATTTTCGATGTTGCAATTTTCATCGATAATTTTCAAAATTCGCTATAAAATTAATTTCTTGAAGGATCCTTGTGGAAATATCACCAATTATTAATTAAAGTATCCTCTTTTTAATGCAACAAGCCGTTTTGAAAAATCACTTTTAGTTCTTGAGAAATAAATTTTTGAAATAATCGACAATTTTTTCGAATTTTGCAATTTTCGCCGATTAAGTTTTAAAAATTCGTATAAAATCCATTTCTTGGAATATGAGTATGAAAATTTCCCAAAGTGTTAATAAAAGTGTCCTCTTTCCAATGAACCAACCCGTTTTGAAAAATAACTTTTAGTTTTTGAAAAAACAATATTTGAAATTTTGATAAAATTTTCGATGTTGCAATTTTCATTGATAAGTTTCAAAATTCGCTATAAAATTAATTTCTTGAAGGATAATTGTGGAAATATCACCAATTATTAATTAAAGTATCCTCTTTTTAATGCAATAAGCCGTTTTGATAAATCACTTTTAGTTCTTGAGAAATAAATTTTTGAAATCGACAATTATTTCGAATTTTGCAATTTTCGCCGATTAAGTTTTAAAAATTCGTATAAAATCCATTTCTTGGAATATGAGTATGAAAATTTCCCAAAGTGTTAATAAAAGTGTCCTCTTTCCAATGAACCAACCCGTTTTGAAAAATAACTTTTAGTTTTTGAGAAAACAATATTTGAAGTTTTGATAAAATTTTCGATGTTGCAATTTTCATCGATAATTTTCAAAATTCGCTATAAAATTAATTTCTTGAAGGATCCTTGTGGAAATATCACCAATTATTAATTAAAGTATCCTCTTTTTAATGCAACAAGCCGTTTTGAAAAATCACTTTTAGTTTTTGAGAAATAAATTTTTGAAATAATCGACAATTTTGTCGAATTTTGCAATTTTCGCCGATTAAGTTTTAAAAATTCGTATAAAATCCACTTCTTGGAATAGAAGTATGAAAATTTCCCAAAGTGTTAATAAAAGTGTCCTCTTTCCAATAAACTGACACGTTTTGAAAAATAATTTTTAGTTTTTGAGATAACCATATTTAAAGTTTTGATAAAATTTTCGATGTTGCAATTTTCATCGATAACTTTCAAAATTCGTTATAAAATTCATTTTTTGAAGGATCCTTGTGGAAATATCATCAATTATTAATTAAAGTATCCTCTTTTTAATGCAAAAAGCCGTTTTGAAAAATCACTTTTAGTTCTTGAGAAATAAATTTTTGAAATGATCGACAATTTTTTCGAATTTTGCAATTTTCGCCGATTAAGTTTTAAAAATTCGTATAAAATCCATTTCTTGGAATATGAGTATGAAAATTTCCCAAAGTGTTAATAAAAGTGTCCTCTTTCCAATGAACCAACCCGTTTTGAAAAATAACTTTTAGTTTTTGAGAAAACAATATTTGAAGTTTTGATAAAATTTTCGATGTTGCAATTTTCATCGATAATTTTCAAAATTCGCTATAAAATTAATTTCTTGAAGGATCCTTGTGGAAATATCACCAATTATTAATTAAAGTATCCTCTTTTTAATGCAAAAAGCCGTTTTGAAAAATCACTTTTAGTTCTTGAGAAATAAATTTTTGAAATGATCGACAATTTTTTCGAATTTTGCAATTTTCGCCGATTAAGTTTTAAAAATTCGTATAAAATCCATTTCTTGGAATATGAGTATGAAAATTTCCCAAAGTGTTAATAAAAGTGTCCTCTTTCCAATGAACCAACCCGTTTTGAAAAATAACTTTTAGTTTTTGAGAAAACAATATTTGAAGTTTTGATAAAATTTTCGATGTTGCAATTTTCATCGATTATTTTCAAAATTCGCTATAAAATTCATTTTTTGAAGGATCCTTGTGGAAATATCGTCAATTATTAATGAAAGTATCCTCTTTTTAATGCAAAAAGCCGTTTTGAAAAATTACTTTTAGTTTTTGAGAAATAAATTTTTGAAATAATCGACAATTTTCTCGAATTTTGCAATTTTCGCCGATTAAGTTTTAAAAATTCGTATAAAATCCACTTCTTGGAATAGAAGTATGAAAATTTCCCAAAGTGTTAATGAAAGTGTCCTCTTTCCAATAAACTAACACGTTTTGAAAAATAATTTTTAGTTTTTGAGAAAACAATATTTGACGTTTTGATAAAATTTTCAATGTTGCAATTTTCATCGATTATTTTCAAAATTCGCTATAAAATTCATTTTTTGAAGGATCCTTGTGGAAATATCACCAATTATTAATTAAAGTATCCTCTTTTTAATGCAACAACCCGTTTTGAAAAATCGCTTTTAGTTTCGGAGAAAAAAATTTTTTAAATAATCGACAATTTTTTCGAATTTTAGAATTTTCGCCGATTAAGTTTTAAAAATTCGTATAAAATCCAGTTCTTGGAATAGGAGTATGAAAATTTCCCAAAGTGTTAATAAAAGTGTCTTCTTTCCAATGAACCAACCCATTTTGAAAAATAATTTTTAGTTTTTGAGAAAACCATATTTTAAGTTTTGATAAAATTTTCGATGTTGCGATTTTCATCGATTATTTTCAAAATTCACTATAAAATTCATTTTTTGAAGGATCCTTGTGGAAATGTCAACAATTATTATATCCTCTTTTTAGAGTTGCTTCGTTTCAAAAAACTTCATTTTATATTTTGAATCCAAATAAGTCGACATATCTTATCAGCTTTCTTATTAACTTGATTTTTAATAAAATATCGCAATAATGTGGCAATAAAGGGTATCGCTTAAAAATATAACCATAATGGCCGGATAGATATGCCGGATATCCGACTTTTCGTAAAATCACTATCCGTTCTATCACTAGTTGTTATCATGATCTTTTGCTTAAGCTAAGTTAAATTGGAAAGATAATCAATTGAATATTGAGAAAATCAATGAAAATGTTGAATTTAAACTATTGATGGTCTCTGTATAACAAATTAAATAAATTGTAGCGTGACACGTTCGATTTAACCCGGCCCAAGGCCAGTTGGAACTTGGTCAAACGCGCGCCCGTTTTTTTTTAAATTTTTTTGGTTACGTAAAAAAAACTAGAAACAAATCGTGAAGAAACGACATCATTTTTACGATCTGCCATCATCCAACAACTATTTAACGTGGCTACTTACTCTAAATCAATTTCATGCCAAACAAACGTAGTAAATGTCACATTTTTCCGTTTGGAAATTGATGTCACGGTATTAAAACAGGTGTAGAAAATACCTCTACACACACATCTCGATTTCGAAACTATTTAGAGAACATTTGTTTCGCCGAGTTATAAAATTAAAAATAACCTTGCGATGAATGCAGCTGCGAGATTTTTTATGTTTTTGTTGATATTATTTTTTTTTTGGCTTATTTTTGGCATAAATGAAATTGCGTGGTTTTAAGAAGGAAATGTTGTGTAACTTAATAATAAATAAAAAGTTCCTAAAAAAAATAGAGATGTAAATGATAATGAATTAAAATAAAAGTAATGAAAGATTAATTATTTGGCCTGATTTTATAACTTTAACATTGAATTTGTAATTTAAAATTAAAATCTTTATAAAATCAGGTGAATCAAAAAAAAATCGAGCAAAAAAAACCCAATTTATTTAATTTATTACCTGCAACCGCTTCCAAGCATTGCAAAAACGTTTCCATATTTCTTTCGCAAGTTGCTTCGTTCAAGTAGAAATAAGTTCGGGCCGATTGGACCTTATAACGTCGATCGGCGAAGGTTTTCGCGACGTGGTACTGTTTCAAAGAGTCCTGATCGACCGTATCACCAGCTTCCGGAACGGAAGCCCTAAAGAAAATGAATCGTTAAATCATATTTTAAGTATTAATTGGATCACTTGACTAAGCGACAAATAAATAATGTTCAGAATAGACAGGCTCGAACTATTGAAAATTGTTTGGTCACAAAATCCGCTTGGTCAGTCGTTTTAAGATTATACAGGGTGTTTCTGTAAGTCGTGGCATAATTTTAATCACTAAAACTAGTTTAGAGTTTGATTTTGTACTTTTAAACTGGTTTTTATTTTATATAGAATTTAAGTCTAACCAGTTTCGGCCCTTGGCCATCTTCAGAGACTCTACAAATACATTAACATCTCTCATTTAATCCATTTTATAAACAAGTTTCTTAATATTTCTTTTTCTTTTGTTAAAAAACTGTATATCAAAGTCGAAATCAGATTATTAGATACTAATTTACAAAATTAAAGTTTAAAAAAGGTGTAAAATGAAATTAAGGACCAAGTTTACAGGTTAAAATTTAAGCACTCTTTTTTAATAAAAAAAATACAGGGTGTCGGATAAAAAACGCCCCAAGCTGTAACTCTGTCATTTACATTCCGATTTTCATGAGCGAGGCATCAAACGAAATGGTTTGTTGAATACTATCCATCTTCAGTTCTAAGCTTTTATTTTCAAATTGCTCCATATATTTTTCTTCACGTCATAGGATAGAGATTGTTTTTCTGAATCCATTGGTGTACAATACATCCATTTTGAATGTAATTTAAGCAGAGAAAAGACACCTGTATATGTATACAGGTGTCACACAAGAACGCCGCAAGCTGTAACTCTATCATTTACCTTCCGATTTTTGTGAAAGAGGTATCAAATGAATACCGTAGTGTGCCATGGAAAAAATTAACGCGCAAAACTGATAACAGTAATTAAATTATATTTCAATGCCTGAAGCGGTTATATTATAAATGATTATTTTTTCCCATGGCACACTACAGTAGAACACTAATGACTTTAAGAGAATGTCCGAAAACTATTTTAATGTTTTCCTCTATTACAATTACAATTAATGTAGATGTATTGTACATTAATGGATTCAGAAAAAAAATTTGCAAAAAAGCAATTTGTAAATCAAAAGTTAATAATCGCTTGAAATTGAAGATAGCGTTGGAAACAATTTATTTGTAGCATAAATCATAGTATTTATTCATCAAACCATTTCATTTGATACCTCGTTCATGAAAATCGGAATGTAAATGACAGAGTTACAGCTTGGGGTGTTTTTTATTTGACACCCTGTATTAAGAAACTTGGGAAAAATTCAAGAATCATCATGTGGCTTAAAAGTCGACGATTTTTTTTAATCAATGTGAAATGACCCAAATAACACGTTAAAAATTAAAAGAATGTGCGGAAAAGTGACTAACACTAGATTAACTTCAGTTATAAAATTTCTATTACATGATAACTAACTTCAGGTTTAAATTGTCAACCTCAATTTTGACATATTTGTAATCTTCATTAAAAATCTTTTAAAATGAGTACAAACACGACATATTTATCTTCAATATTAATGAAGTTATGATCAACTTCCGGTTAAGAATGTCAACGTCAATTTTGACATATTTGTAATCGTCGTGAAAAATTCTTTAAAATGAGTCCAAACATGATGCGTTTAATTGCAATATTAATCGAGATATAAGCAACTTCCGGTTTGAAATGTCAATGTCGTTATGATATATCTTAATTTTTATAAAACGTGTTAAAATTTGTCACAAAAACAAAAATATAATCAAAAATAACAAAAATTAAGGTTGGTATTAATATTTAAAAATTAAATTGCTATCTTCATTGTTGCTAACTTCGGGTTTAACGTTTTTCATTCTAACTTTTTTGCTTTTTGAGATATTTTCATCATGTTTGGACTCATTTTAAAGGGTTTTTAATAAAGAATACATCATGAAAGAACACCGTGAAGTTGTCCCTTTGTCTATTATGTGATAACTAACTTCAGTTTTAAAATGTCAACCTCAATTTTGACATATTTGTAATCTTCATTAAAAATCCTTTAAAATGAGTACAAACACGACATATTTATCTTCAATATTAATGAGGTTATGGTCAACTTCCGGTTNCGGTTTTTCGCAAAATCACTATCCGTTCCATCACTAGTTATTACCATGATTTTTTGCTTAAACGAAGTTAAATTGGAAAGATAATCAATTGAATATTGAGAAAATCAATGAAAATGTTGAATTTAAACTATTGATGGTCTCTGTATAACAAATTAAATAAATTGTAGCGTGACACGTTCGATTTAACCCGGCCCAAGGCCAGTTGGAACTTGGTCAAACGCGCGCCCGTTTTTTTTTAAATTTTTTTGGTTACGTAAAAAAAACTAGAAACAAATCGTGAAGAAACGACATCATTTTTACGATCTGCCATCATCCAACAACTATTTAACGTGGCTACTTACTCTAAATCAATTTCATGCCAAACAAACGTAGTAAATGTCACATTTTTCCGTTTGGAAATTGATGTCACGGTATTAAAACAGGTGTAGAAAATACCTCTACACACACATCTCGATTTCGAAACTATTTAGAGAACATTTGTTTCGCCGAGTTATAAAATTAAAAATAACCTTGCGATGAATGCAGCTGCGAGATTTTTTATGTTTTTGTTGATATTATTTTTTTTTTGGCTTATTTTTGGCATAAATGAAATTGCGTGGTTTTAAGAAGGAAATGTTGTGTAACTTAATAATAAATAAAAAGTTCCTAAAAAAAATAGAGATGTAAATGATAATGAATTAAAATAAAAGTAATGAAAGATTAATTATTTGGCCTGATTTTATAACTTTAACATTGAATTTGTAATTTAAAATTAAAATCTTTATAAAATCAGGTGAATCAAAAAAAAATCGAGCAAAAAAAACCCAATTTATTTAATTTATTACCTGCAACCGCTTCCAAGCATTGCAAAAACGTTTCCATATTTCTTTCGCAAGTTGCTTCGTTCAAGTAGAAATAAGTTCGGGCCGATTGGACCTTATAACGTCGATCGGCGAAGGTTTTCGCGACGTGGTACTGTTTCAAAGAGTCCTGATCGACCGTATCACCAGCTTCCGGAACGGAAGCCCTAAAGAAAATGAATCGTTAAATCATATTTTAAGTATTAATTGGATCACTTGACTAAGCGACAAATAAATAATGTTCAGAATAGACAGGCTCAAACTATTGAAAATTGTTTGGTCACAGAATCCGCTTAGTCAGTCGTTTTACGATTATACAGGGTGTTTCTGTAAGTCGTGGCATAATTTTAATCACTAAAACTAGTTTAGAGTTTGATTTTGTACTTTTAAACTGGTTTTTATTTTATATAGAATTTAAGTCTAATCGGTTTCGGCCCTTGGCCATCTTCAGAGACTCTACAAATAGATTATCATCTTTCATTTAATCCATTTTATAAACAAGTTTCTTAATATTTCTTATTCTTTTGTTAAAAAACTATACCTCAAAGTCGAAATCAGATTATTAGATACTAATTTACAAAATTAAAGTTTAAAAACACTCTTTTTTAATAAAAAAATACAGGGTGTCCGATAAAAAACGCCCCAAGCTGTAACTCTGTCATTTACATTCCGATTTTGATAAGCGAGACAAATAAATTTTTTCCAAGGCCATCTTCAGTTCTAAGCAATTATTAGCTATTGTTTTTCAAATTGTTCCGTATATTTTTCTTCGCGTCATAGGATAGAGGTTTTTTTTTCTGAACCCATTGCTGTACAATACATTAACATTAATTGTAATTTTAGCAAAGAAAAACAATCAAAACATTTTCCGAACATTGTCTTAGTCATTTCTGTAATACCGTAGTGTGCCATGGAAAAAAAATATAATATTAAATAATTATTCGTGAGACGATCTTTTTTATACAAAGAAACAATTTTATTTCATACTAATATTTCGATCGTTTTTTTCGATCTTCATCAGAGTATAACGCGCAAAACTGATAATAATTATATTTCAATGCCTGAAGCGGTTGTAAATGATTATTTTTTCCCATGGCACACTACAGTAGAACACTAGTGACTTTAAGAGAATGTTAGGAAACTATTTTAATGTTTTTCTCTATTACAATTACAATTAATGTTGATGTATTGTACATTAATGGATTCAGAAAAAAAAAATTGCAAAAAATGGCGTTGGAAAAAATTTATTTGTAGCATGAATCATAGTATTCATCAAACCATTTCATTTGATACCTCGCTCATGAAAATCGGAATGTAAATGACAGAGTTACAGCTTGGGGTGTTTTTTATTTGACACCCTGTATTAAGAAACTTGGGAAAAATTCAAGAATCCTGAATCATCATGTAGCTTAAAAATCGACGATTTTTTTTAATCAATGTGAAATGACCCAAAAAACACGTTAAAAATAAAAAGAATGTGCGGAAAAGTACTAGATTAACTGCAGTTATAAAATTTCTATTATATGATAACTAACTTCAGGTTTAAACTGTCAACCTCAATTTTGACAGATTTGTAATCTTCATTAAAAATCCTTTAAAATGAGTACAAACACGAGATATTTATCTTCAATATTAATGAGGTTATGGTCAACTTCCGGTTAAGAATGTCAACGTCAATTTTGGCATATTTGTAATCGTCGTGAAAAATCCTTTAAAATGAGTCCAAACATCATACGTTTAATTGCAATATTACTCGAGATATAAGCAACTTCCGGTTTGAAATGTCAATGTCACTTTGATATATTCTTNCATATTTGTAATCGTCGTGAAAAATCCTTTAAAATGAGTCCAAACATGATACGTTTAATTGCAATATTACTCGAGATATAAGCAACTTCCGGTTTGAAATGTCAATGTCACTTTGATATATTCCTAATTTTTAGAAAACGTGTTAAATTTTGTCACGAAAACAAAAACATAATCAAAAAATTCAAAAATTAAGGTTGGTATTAATATTTAAAAATTAAATTGCTATCTTCATTGTTCCTAACTTCGGGTTTAATATTTTTCATTTTAACTTTTTTGAGATATTTTCATCATGTTTAGACTCATTTTAAAGGGTTTTTAATAAAGAATACATCATGAATGAACACCATGAAGTTGTCGATTTATCTATTGTATGATAGCTAACTTCAGGTTTAAAACGTCAACCTCAACTTTGACATATGTTGAAACGTTGACGTTTCAAATCGGATAATTCATTAATATCAAAGTTAAATATGTCGAGTTTGCATTTTAAGGCCCGGTTTTACAATAATAGTTTAAGCGTCCGATTAACCAATCGGCAATTAAAATTCAATCAAGTTTTACAAAAATTATGTTAAACCAACAAGTACAATTATCTTGGTTATTATTATAAGGGGAGTATTAAGTGGAGTATTATAACTAAGACATTATATGGACACTTTTTTACAGAGAATTTCATGACGTGGTCAAAAANACGTCAATTTTGACATATTTGTAATCGTCGTGAAAAATCCTTTAAAATGAGTCCAAACATCATACGTTTAATTGCAATATTACTCGAGATATAAGCAACTTCCGGTTTGAAATGTCAATGTCACTTTGATATATTCCTAATTTTTAGAAAACGTGTTAAAATTTGTCACGAAAACAAAAATATAATAAAAAAAATCAAAAATTGAGGTTGGTATTAATATTTAAAAATTAAATTGCTATCTTCATTGTTCCTAACTTCGGGTTTAATATTTTTCATTCTAACTTTTTTGAGATATTTTCATCATGTTTAGACTCATTTTAAAGGGTTTTTAATAAAGAATACATATTGAAAGAACACCATGAAGTTGTCGATTTATCTATTATATGATAGCTAACTTCAGGTTTAAAACGTCAACCTCAACTTTGACATATGTTGAAACGTTGACGTTTCAAATCGGATAATCCATTAATATCAAAGTTAAATATGTCCAGTTTGGACTCATTTTAAGGCCCGGTTTTACAATAATAGTTTAAGTGTCCGATTAACCAATCGGCAATTAAAATTTAATTAAGTTTTACAAAAATTATGTTAAACCAACAAGTACAATTACCCTGGTTATTATTATAAGGGGAGTATTAAGTGGAGTATTATAACTAAGACATTATATGGACACTTTTTTACAGAGAATTTCATGACGTGGTCAAAAAAAATGTTGCAGTTTTAGATTTTGAGATATGACAATTTTCGTTTTTTTTAATGGAAACATTCGCTTATTAAATTCGATATTTTTTTCTGATTACAAAAATATAGGGTTTGACAAGTCTATTTCTTATTGTTTTTGAATAAAGCTAAAAATAAACTTTTTTTTAGTGTCGTCAAAGAAATTAAATTTACAGTTTCCTGTAAATTAGAACTAAAAATTAAAAAAAAACATATTTCTGATATTTGAAACAAATACAGTTCTTGAACTATTTAATTTATATTTGTTTTACACAAAAGTCGGAATAGATTGCATTATTTCACTTTTTTTATTAATATTTAATATTATTATTAAATGACATAATGAATTATTGATAGATGGCGCTCATTTGTTTGTATTCAAAAATTTTCTGAAGTGTCAAATTAAAAATCCTGTTTTTTAAGATGGATTACGAAAAGTTTAACATGTTAGAAATTAGAAAATAAAGTAAATTTTATATAAATTTTTAGTAGAATAATTTTCAGTTATTGTACCGTAATTTACAGGAAACTGTAAATTTAATAACCAAAATAATTGCACTTGCTGGTTTTACGATATTTTCAATTTTTGCGCTTTGAGGTTTTCGGCATTTGCAGTTTCTCGAAAAACGAGATCTTCCTTCATTAGTAGCTCCTTAGCTATATTTATTATCTATTTATCGTTGTCTTTAGGGCCATTCCCTCCTCATCTCAAATTGGGATTAAATGAATTAAAAATCTGTTAATTTTATGTTCAGATTTATTTTTATATCCACATTTATTTCAAATTTAAACATCTAATAATAATAATAATCATATTTTCAGTTTTACTTTTTTTTAACCAATNGTACATATAACTAACTTCATTGTTTAGTATCTGTCAAAATTATAACCTATTAATTTTGTATTTTGTAACTGTTTGATTTTCATTTTGTAAAAATATTTTTGAACTATGAATAATATATTTACGTACGATGAAGATTTCTTAGAAGTAGTTGAAATGGTGGCTTTTCCCAGAAAAGCAAAAGTTTTTCGTGAGCTGAATAACCATTTTGAAGAATGGTCAGACCAAGAGTTTCTGCAACGTTTTAGGTACATTTCCAATCTATTTGAAGCTTTGTAAAACATTTTCAAATTAAACTTACTTAAAAAAATAACTATTTACATAAATTGATTATATCCTTTTTAATTTATTAGGTATACAAAATATTAAAACAATTTTTCACTAGGCTCAAATTGAACAAATGTGAACCGTGCACCAAGTACACAAAAAAAAGAGGTTAGATCTGGTACGCATAAACTAAGTTTTGGTGCCACGTATTTGTAGAGTCTCTGGAGATGGCCAAGGGCCGAAACTAGTTAGACTTAAATTTTATATAAAATAAAAGACATAAACTTCTCATCTATTTTATCTATTGTAGAATTTTTTGGTGTATCTAAATCGGATTTAAAATCAAATAAGTAGTATTTTAGGTCTTTCGGTGTACACCTTTATCTATCAGACACCGTGAAAATCGCTAAAAACGATAAAACGTCGCTTATTCAGGTGATGTATAACGCGGTCCAATTATTTTAAGTGTTAATTACTTACTCAACTTCGCGTTTTTCAGCTTCCTCTTGAGATAAATCCTCCTCCACCGAGTAATCGAGAATCGGTTTGACCCCAAACGATCGGAGCCGTTCTAAGCACGGTCTGATTTTGTATTGGTCCTCTCCAGCGACGAAATGACCATAAAACGTGCCCTTCATGAACCAGATGAAGAATCGTTCGCCCATTACCGATCGGGCGAACTTCATAATCTACAAAAAGAAATTGATACAAATTAATTTTTATGCTAGATTCTTTTTTGCTATTTACAATGCTAATTAAAGTAGTCGTCTACCAAAACGTCTGGTATATTTCCAAGTGGAATCGATCGGTGTTTTCGCCAAAGTCAAAGTTCGTTAGCCTACAGAAACCGTTTCGCTTGGCGCATAATTTTTTTTCTTATTTTTTTTTCTGCGCCTTTTTTTTGTGTGACACAAATGCATTAGTGTCGAGGTCCAAGATTCTCACGTGCGTGGGTATGCCGAATAACACAACAGCTGAACCGTGGTTATTTTTATCTTTAGAACGCGGGTTTATGCGATGAATCAACTTTAACATAATCGAACTCAAAATCAACAAAAAGCTCTCCTATTTCAATATAATCAACAAAGATAATTCAATAAAAGTCTAGGCGTTGTTTAAAATGTTTTTTTGTTGAAATGTTTCAATTGAAACGGCCTCGTTTCGTTACGAATTAATCTAATGAATACAAATTGAGTTGGGTTAGATTCAAAAATCTTGTATGATTTATTTAATCGCGGAAAATATTTTGTTATAAGGGGTGAATTATTGTGTAAATAAACATGGGAAGTCGTAGAAGTAAAAAATTTGTAGTAAACAACTTTATTTTATTTGCTTTTTTTATATTTATAGATGTGTTTGCGTCCTGTCTGAGAATTGGGCGAAAATTTTCCATCACAACATTATAAAAAAGAACAAAACAAACGTTTGGAATTTTTTTACAACGAGAATCTTTAATTCTTCGAATTTAATGATCGATGGAGACGGGAAACGCTCGAAGTGAGACCATTCATTATGAATGAAACGATTAAAAGGATTTCTGTGACATTATATCTGACAGATGTCACTTAAACGTCAAACTTTTCAAATATCAATATTTTAGAAGATTTCTGTAATATTTAAGTAAGTTTTTTTTTAAATAATTTTATTTGAAAATAAAAGAAACAATATATTTTTAGTGCCAAATTAAATAAGTGATTGAATTGGAGAAAAATATCTTTCTGATAACATTTCACACCAAATTTAATCTCAACATCAATCCACTAAGTTATCAAAGAGGAGAATCGCTCCATGTGATTATATTTTTGATCAGAAAAGCTGAAATTAATGGGTTAGATTGGAAAAATATTGAGAAAAAAAAAGTTGAAATAAAACTTACATTTCCGTATAACCTAAAAGTGTCAAAAAAGATGACAATTTAAAAAATCCTGGAAGCCGTATTTATTGAAATTAAGAATGAAACTTATTTTAAATTAAAGCTCAAAGCTTTCTCTTTAAAATGATGTATAATAATTGATGGGTTGGATTGGAAAAATATTAAGAAAAAGAATGTTGAAACAAAACTTACATTTTCGTATAACTTAAAAGTGTCAAAAAAGATGCTATTTAACCTCTAATATCTAACCTCACATCTGGATGAATAAATTTAAATATACTTAAAAACCCTACAGTGCGGATTACGCCGTTTTTATACAGATTCTTTCTTGTATAGTAGAAAGTATACTGACAGTTCTAAATGTGCCGAATAGATGACTACAGTTTAAAATGAGTATTTAAAACTACCGGTACTTTAAAGTACCGTCGGGACATAAAGGGATGATGCAACGAGGGGATGTAAAAGGTGTAAAATTTGCATATTGGGTTAAAATATGATACATAACTATTAGAATTGGATACTCCAAGCAGTGAAAAGGTCTATTTAAGAATGTATCTTTAAACATTTCAAAATTGTACCAATAACTTCTTCAACATCATGATTTAAATTAATTAATAAATGGGTTAATGATAAAAGGAGACAAAAAAAAAATGATTTGATGACTCTCAATACTAGATTGTATTGACAATTTCTTCTCGCGTTTCAAGATTAAGACCATCTGGCCTCTCCGATATTCTTACACTTGGAAGAAACCACTTTCCAAAAAAAAAACTACTTTCACATTCATTAATGAAAATTGAAAACATATTTGTAAGGTATTACATAAAAGTATGAGCTTAAAGAACTCAACTGACCTGTTAGTTACAGCAAATACATATTACAGAAGAAATACTCGAAATCTTATGGACGTTTTTCCATAAAAAGAGGAAAATCGACGAAGATATGTTAAAATTTGTTTAAAAATAGCGTATAAAGTATTTTTGAAAGTATTATTTGTATAAAAAACTGTTTTCTTATGCATCTATTTTCTTCTAGGCGTGCACCAAAATGGAAGGGAAATCTTTCTACATCAGATATTGGAGAATACACAACCTCGACACATTCGCAATCAGTAGATCTCGAAGTTCACGACTTTCTGTGCCTCTATGAGAGGCAAAGCAAAATGTAGACAACTTTAAATTACACCATCTATTGAGATAACTCGAGGAATCGAGAATGCATTTTGGCTGTAATTTTAGCAAGTTATAAAGCGCCAAGCATACTCATTGTGCGAAACATCGTGGATAGATTGATATTATTCTCTGCAAATCGGTAAATAGAACGTCTTGCAATTATATGATCGTTGAGAAGAGTCTTTTGCGTTTTATGACTTCATTCTAAACGTTTTTTGTTTAAAAAGTAATTCTCCATCACTCATAATTAATAAGATATAACCGAAAATTGTCAAAAACCTCAAAATTTGGTTTTATTTTTGGGGTGGGTTGGCACTACTGATCGATGGATTCAAATAACTTTTTGGATATGTTTTATGGGTTCATTCTAAACCTTTTTTGTATGAAATGATTTTTTCCATCGGATACAATTAATGAGTTATAGAGAAAAATTTATGAAAGCGTCAAAATTTCAATTTTTCTTAAGTTGGGTTGGTAATTCTGATTGGTGGAAAAACTATCTTTATTCAGTGCGCTTTATGAGCTAATTCTAAACGTTTTTTGTTTAAAAAGTAATTCTCCATCATGTATAATTAATAAGTTATAACCGAAAATTGTCAAAAACCTCAAAATTTGGTTTTATTTTTGGAGTGGGTTGGCACAACTCATCGATGGATTAAAATAACTTATTGGATATGTTTTATGGGTTAATTCTAAACCTATTTTGTATGAAATGTCTTTTTCCATCGGTTATAATTATTGAGTTATACAAGAAAATTGTTGAAAACGTCAAAATTACTACTTTTTTACGTTGGGCTGGTAACACTGATTGATGGAATAAATATCTTTATGCAATACGTTTTATGAGTTAATTCTAAACGTTTTTTGTTTAAAAAGTAACTCTCCATCATCCATAATTAATAAGTTATAACCGAAAAGTGTCAAAAACATTAAAATTTTGTTGTATTTTCGGGTTGAGTTGGTACTACTGACCGATGGATTAAAATAACTTATTGGATATGTTTTATGGGTTAATTCTAAACCTATTTTGTATGAAATGTCTTTTTCCACCGGTCATAATTATTGAGTTATACAAGAGAATTGTTGAAAACGTCAAAATTTCTATTTTTCATAAGTTGTGTTGGTAATACTGATTGATGGAATAAATATCTTTATGGAATACGTTTTATGAGTTAATTCTAAACGTTTTTTGTTTAAAAAGTAATTCTCCATCATTCATAATTAATAAGTTATAACCGAAAACTGTCAAAAACATTAAAATTTGGATTTATTGTTGGGTTGGGTTGGCACTACTGATCGATGGATTAAAATAACTTATTAGATATGTTTTATGGGTTAATTCTAAATCTTTTTTGTATGAAATAATTTTTTCCATCGGATACAATTAATGAGTTATAGAGAAAAATTGATGAAAACACATACAATTAGAAAAAGTCTGAGTGAATGACGGTTCTTAGATTCTTAACGATCATGATATTTTTTTTATTAATCTTTTCAATTGCTAAATTAAAAATTTTTTTATCGAAATTTAAAAATAATATATCAAGTTTGTCTTTTGACAGCCTTTTATTGAGAATTAAATGCAGCTTCTTTTCAAATTCGTTTAAATACGACACAATTATACTAAATCGTTCGTTTTAGTTTTTAGATAACATAATCAACGCTCAATGTTTACACATCATCGGTGTAAATGAGAACGAGAGAAAGGATTAAGGAGATTGTGAATCTATTTTATGGCGCTGAGAAGAAATGGTGATAGAAACAGTGACTTGTTGCATTAAGAAGAGGATACTTTAATTAATAAAGAAAAATATATATAGATTTATTACATCTAGTGGTGAGTAATTATATTACAACGATTAAAACGACATCTAGTAATTTATAGCAAAACTATATAACATTATGTATTACCTTATTTTTTTAGGTTGGTTCATGAAACACTGGAAAAGTGATACTATAACATTTGAAACATTTAAACATCAACGATTAAGAAGATTGTGAAGTTATTTTATGGCGCTGGGAAGAAATATTGGATCCCAGAGAAGTCCTAACAGCGTTTTTAGGTATAGTAGCCAAGTTATATTTACAATTTTTGCTTTTATTGGTTATCCAAATCTACCATAAAGCAGAGAAAACAAATTGACGTTAATTTGATGACGTTTGAATCGCAATTCTAACACATCTACGTAACAGTATCTTTTAATTGAATAAACGTTTCGGTAATTCACGTTTAATTTAAATCATCTATCGTTCACGTTAATTTCGTTTCTCGCTCCATTTTTTTTATTGGACCAATCTTAATTCGTCGTCAATTGGCCGAAACGATGACAGAGATTATTTTTGATATACAGAGATCACCAAAAGTCTTTATCAACTGAAATTTTTTTTATCGCGACTATGAAGGAATTACTTAGAAAATGTGTTAAGGTAGATTTGTAATCTAAAAAAAATACGCGTAAATTCGGCGTCTATAAATAAATAAAAAAATTGAATGGATTAAAAATAAACTTTTATGAGTAATCCAGATAACAATTACAATAATTCTAATAAAAGTACGTCGAGTAAGAATTGTTCTTCTTAAGACACTTACAAAGTTTTAACACAAATTAATAATCGAACAAAAACAAATTATTACAAATTTCTCTTCCCCTCGATTTTTATTGCATCACGCAAACTTGGCGGTACCCAAGGCCAACTTACGTTCTAATTATGTAGAGAGAGAGACCATCGATATAATAAACCGTCTTATTATGTAGCATTTTTGTTAAATAAGACTTGATTCGAGTCGCTTCGAGACACACGTCATTTTTTTTCCTTTTTCGATCGTAATTTTATTTTTTTTTAAATTCCTTTTAAGTCGCATTCTTGCGTAACCCGCGAGACACGTAGCGGCGGTTTCTCTCTCGCCTGAAACGGGGGCCCGCAACAATCACGTGACTACCTACGTCACGGACACGCCTCCGTGGAATTTCTGAGTTCGCCAAGCGATTTACGACGTACTAAAAACGACCATACATGATATACGAGTAGATTGAAGATGATATTAAATTATAAACGATATTCTTTTCTTTATTGTGTAACATTTTTAACGTTAACTTAGCTCGCGATAATAATATCCGGTGTGCGCGATAAAAAGGAACAAAACGTTTTCAGTAAAGATTAAGAACTTGTAAACAATTCGCTAATATCAACAAACTCCCACGTAATACTCCAAACGTATACAAACTTTAATCGCAAAATTTGGTTTCGATTTCATTTACTTTGAGATGACGCTTGAATTCATTATTTTATTAAAAAGAACCCTTGGCAACGCTTGTTATAAATTATCATCGATGATAACACGATAAACATGAAGATAAAGTAAAGCTCGTGTAAATAATTAATGAATGGAAGCGTTCATGTAAAAGAGGGTTTTAATTAAGCTATATAGAAACATTTTTGCTTAAAATTCTTCAAAAGTTCAATAAAAATATACAACAATTTAGCGCTGAACAACGGGTTCAGCCGTGCGTCTTAATAAGAATCAAAAATGCTTTAATTTGATACCAAACACGATATATTTTAGTTAAAAAATAAAAAAAATAGGTTATAGACTGTCAAATGTCAAAATTATTTTTAACGATTTTTTGATAAATATTGAAATGATTTTAATAAGAATTAAAAATGCTTTAATTTGATACCAAACATGATATATTTGGGTTAAAAAATGATAAAGTTAGGTTAAAAAATGTTAAATGTCAAAATTAAATATAACAATTTTTTGATAAATATCGAACTGATCTGGATAAGAATTAAAAATGCTTTCATTTGATACCAAACATGATATATTTGGGTTTAAAAACAAAAAATTAGATTGGAAACTGTCAAATGTCAAAATTAAATTTAACGAATTTTTGATAAATATTGAAATGATCTCAATAAGAATCAAAAATGTTTTAATTTGATACCAAACATGATATATTTTGGTTAAAAAATGAAAAAGTTAGGTTATAAACTGTCATGTCAAAATTAAATATAACGATTTTTTTGATTAATGTTCAAATGATTTCAATAAGAATCAAAAAAGCTTTCATTTGATACCAAACTCGGTATATTTCAGTTAAAAAATAAAAAAAGTTAGGTTATAAACTGTCAAATGTCAAAATTAAATGTAATGATTTTTTGATAAATATTGAAATCATCTTAATAAGAATCAAAAATGTTTTCATTTCATACCAAACATGATATATTTGGGTTAAAAAACATAAAAGTTAGGTTATAAACTGTCAAATGTCAGAATTAAATAGAACGATTTTTTGATTAATACTCAAATGATTTCAATAAGAATCAAAAAAGCTTTCATTTGATACCAAATTCGGTATATTTGGGTTAAAAAATAAAAAACTTAGGTTATAAACTGTCAAATGTCAAAATTAAATATAATGATTTTTTGATAAATATTGAAATCATCTTAACAAGTATCAAAAATGCTTTCATATGATACCAAACATGATATATTTGGATTAAAAACATAAAAGTTAGGTTATAAACTGTCAAATGTCAAAATTAAATATAACGATTTTTTGATTAATACTCAAATGATTTCAATAAGAATCAAAAAAAGCTTTCATTTGATACCATACTCGGTATATTTGGGTTAAAAAATAAAAAAGTTAGGTTAGAAACTGTCAAATGTCAAATAATCGCCATTTTCTTTTGCTAAAAATTAAGATATCTCGATAACGGTTGGAGATAAGTAGGTCGAGTTTGGGTTCATTTTAAAGGTTTTTTAATTGTCTATCTATTAACGTTAAAAAAAAAAGGTAATCTTGACGAAATTTTTGTGCTACGCGTCATTAAATTTCTTAAACTTTAACAGAACTTTAAACAAATAAAAAAACCTCAAACCTAAAGAAAACTGCGCATTAAGATTAAATTTTTTGTAGTTGAATAAATTTGACGTTTCATATTGACAGATGTGATTTAAAACATTTCGATTTTGACATAATCTATTTTAATTAAATAGAAGAAATGAAGTTAGGTTATAAACTGTCAAATGTTAAAATTAAATATAACAATTTTTTGATAAATATCGAAATGATCTAAATAAGAATTAAAAATGCGTTCATTTGATACCAAACTCGATATATTTTGGTTAAAAAACATAAAAGTTAGGTTATAAACTGTCAAATGTCCAAATTAAAGATAACAATTTTATGATAAATATTCAAATGATTTCAATAAGAATTAAAAATGCTTTCATTTGATACCAAACATGATGTATTTGGGTTAAGAAATAAAATAGTTAGGTTAGAAACTGTCAAATGTCAAAATTAAATATAACAATTTTATGATAAATATTCAAATGATTTCAATAAGAATTAAAAATGCTTTCATTTGATACCAAACACGATATGTTTTGGATAAAAAATAAAAAAGTTGGGTTATAAACTGTCAAATGTCAAATAATCGCCATTTTTTTTTGCTAAAAATTAAGTTATCTCGATAACGGTTGGAGATAAGTAGGTCGAGTTTGGGTTCATTTTAAAGGATTTTTAATTTTCCATTTACTAATGTTAAAGAAAGAACTGCTAAGAAAAAAAAACCTTGGCGGAATTTTTGAAACTTTAAACAAATAAAAAACCTCAAACCGAAAGATAAATCCTTTCATTTGATACCAAACACAACATATTTGGGTGAAAAAACAAAAAAGTTAGATTAGAAACTGTCAAATGTCAAAATTAAATATAACGATTTTTTGATAAATATCGAAATGATCTTAATAACAGTTAAAAATCCTTTAATTTGATACCAAACACGATATATTTGTATTAAAAAATAAAAAAGTTAGGTTATAAACTGTCAAATGTCAAATAATTTTTTTTTGCTAAAAATTAATATATCTCGATAACGGTTGGAGATAAATAGGTCAAGTTTGGGTTCATTTTAAAGGATTTTTAATTTTCTATCCATTTATGTTGACAAAAGTACAGCTTTATAATTAAAAAAACTTTGGATTGCTCGAACACTGTAAATCACATTAAAGATAGCTTTTTGTTAACTCTAACTTTATCAATAAGCGCGCCGTGTCAATGACAATATTAATTATTATCCAATTTACACTTATAATAAGTTTTGAGGTTGGCAACTCTGACACTTTGACAACTGTCAAGTCTATATAGTTTCATTTCAATGTAACTTAACCTCTAAAATTTTTTATTTTACATTATTAGCAATAAATAAACGCCCGTAACAATCGGTAGCTACAATCACGTCATGATTGGCCATTAAAATGTGTTTGAGTAATATAACGTGATTTACGACCCGGTTTTGGCTACACAAAAAATCGTTAACAAGGTATTTTTAATAATAAATAACATTTTACGATTATTATTATTACTACACACTATAATATGCACATTTGTAACATTCTTTAATACGCCATAAAAGATTATCACGAAACAATTTCTTATATCAGTTCAAATTTCTCATTCTTTCTGACTCACCTTGTAGTTTATTGAAACTATATTCATGCAATCGTTGCTAAACTTTTTTAATTTAATTTTAAAATGTAGTTATTTTCTTATATGCACATAACCTAACTCCAGAATAATAACATTTCGGTTAATTAAAACTTCGAAAAATAAATAATTAAAAAAAAAATAATAAATCAAAAAGTAACTGTCAAAATTTAAGGTTATAATCGAAAGTTTGAATGAATTATATAGGGAATTTTTTTTATTGAAGTTTAACTGTCATGTTGACGTTTAACTGTCAATGTTGACGTTTAACTGTCATGTTGACGTTATGAAAGAAAGTTAAATATTCACGTGATAGTATTTTAACTTTGCAAGGTAAGAATCTACTTTAATCTACATTTTAATGAAGCGCATTAAGCACAAGTTCGCTGTTTACATTTATTAACGTGCTACGAAGATGTTTTTAATCAAATATAGTAGTAATATGGCTCAAATCAATTGGAAACATCATGAGCTTGATTAAAATAAAAGAAAAAAGTTAGAAAACTTAATGGGGACGTTTTTCAGAACATATAAATATTTCAAGAAAAGGAAAAGTTGATTGGTGTAAGTCAAAATGGTTTTAATTAACCAAAAACTCTCCAAGGATACTTAACGATGATGAAAGAATTTAAAAAAATTATTTTGATCGTTTTTGAAAGTGTTTCAAACATACCAGAAAACCGAAAAAGCTTGTTGGTGTGTGTCAAAATGGCTCAAATCAATTGCAAACACTTTGAGGTTGGTTAAAATAAAGGAAAGATGTTAAAAAAGTTGATGGAGACGTTTTNAAAAAATGTTATAAACTGTCAAATGTCAAATAATCGCCATTTTTTTTTGCTAAAAATTAAGTTATCTCGATAACGGTTGGAGATAAGTAGGTCGAGTTTGGGTTCATTTTAAAGGATTTTTAATTTTCCATTTACTAATGTTAAAGAAAGAACTGCTAAGAAAAAAAAACCTTGGCGGAATTTTTGAAACTTTAAACAAATAAAAAACCTCAAACCGAAAGATAAATCCTTTCATTTGATACCAAACACAACATATTTGGGTGAAAAAACAAAAAAGTTAGATTAGAAACTGTCAAATGTCAAAATTAAATATAACGATTTTTTGATAAATATCGAAATGATCTTAATAACAGTTAAAAATCCTTTAATTTGATACCAAACACGATATATTTGTATTAAAAAATAAAAAAGTTAGGTTATAAACTGTCAAATGTCAAATAATTTTTTTTTGCTAAAAATTAATATATCTCGATAACGGTTGGAGATAAATAGGTCAAGTTTGGGTTCATTTTAAAGGATTTTTAATTTTCTATCCATTTATGTTGACAAAAGTACAGCTCTATAATTAAAAAAACTTTGGATTGCTCGAACACTGTAAATCACATTAAAGATAGCTTTTTGTTAACTCTAACTTTATCAATAAGCGCGCCGTGTCAATGACAATATTAATTATTATCCAATTTACACTTATAATAAGTTTTGAGGTTGGCAACTCTGACACTTTGACAACTGTCAAGTCTATATAGTTTCATTTCAATGTAACTTAACCTCTAAAAATTTTTATTTTACATTATTAGCAATAAATAAACGCCCGTAACAATCGGTAGCTACAATCACGTCATGATTGGCCATTAAAATGTGTTTGAGTAATATAACGTGATTTACGACCCGGTTTTGGCTACACAAAAAATCGTTAACAAGGTATTTTTAATAATAAATAACATTTTACGATTATTATTATTACTACACACTATAATATGCACATTTGTAACATTCTTTAATACGCCATAAAAGATTATCACGAAACAATTTCTTATATCAGTTCAAATTTCTCATTCTTTCTGACTCACCTTGTAGTTTATTGAAACTATATTCATGCAATCGTTGCTAAACTTTTTTAATTTAATTTTAAAATGTAGTTATTTTCTTATATGCACATAACCTAACTCCAGAATAATAACATTTCGGTTAATTAAAACTTCGAAAAATAAATAATTTAAAAAAAAATAATAAATCAAAAAGTAACTGTCAAAATTTAAGGTTATAATCGAAAGTTTGAATGAATTATATAGGGAATTTTTTTTATTGAAGTTTAACTGTCATGTTGACGTTTAACTGTCATGTTGACGTTATGAAAGAAAGTTAAATATTCACGTGATAGTATTTTAACTTTGCAAGGTAAGAATCTACTTTAATCTACATTTTAATGAAGCGCATTAAGCACAAGTTCGCTGTTTACATTTATTAACGTGCTACGAAGATGTTTTTAATCAAATATAGTAGTAATATGGCTCAAATCAATTGGAAACATCATGAGCTTGATTAAAATAAAAGAAAAAAGTTAGAAAACTTAATGGGGACGTTTTTCAGAACATTTAAAATATTTCAAGAAAAGGAAAAGTTGATTGGTGTAAGTCAAAATGGTTTTAATTAACCAAAAACTCTCCAAGGATACTTAACGATGATGAAAGAATTTAAAAAAATTATTTTGACCGTTTTTGAAAGTGTTTCAAACATACCAGAAAACCGAAAAAGCTTGTTGGTGTGTGTCAAAATGGCTCAAATCAATTGCAAACACTTTGAGGTTGGTTAAAATAAAGGAAAGATGTTAAAAAAGCTAATGGAGACGTTTTCCAGAAAATTTAAATATTTAGAAAGTTGATTGGTGTGTGTCAGAATGGATGTAATCGATTAAAACCATCATTAGCGTACTTAAGGAGGATGAAATAATAAAAAAATTTGTTTCTGAAGTTTTCTGAAAGTGTTACAAAGATACCAGGAAATCAAACAAGCTTATTGGTGGGTGTCAAAATGATCCTAATCGATTTAAAACACCTCAATGTCATTTGAAAAAGCAAAAACGAGTTGATAATATTAATTGAGATATTTTCCAGAAAATTCTAAGAAATTAAAATATGGGAAAACTCAATTGGAATGAATCACAACGATTCTAATCGCTTAAAAACATCTTAAGGATGATGAATAATTAAAAAAAATTAAATTTGATTTATTATGAAAGTACTTCAACGATATCAAAAAGTAAAAAAAGCTTCTTGATGAGTGTCAAAATGATCCTAATCGATTTAAAACAGCTTGATGTTATTTGGAAAAGCCAAAACGAGTTGATAATATTAATTGAGATGTTTTCCAGAAAATTCTAAGACTTTAAAATATGGGAAAATTTAATTGGTATTAATCATAACGATTCTAATCAATTAAAAACAACTTAAGGATGATGAAAAATTAGAATAAATTGATTTTGATTTTTTTGAAAGTATTTGAAAGTTATCAAAAAATAGAAAAAGCTTGTCGGTGCGCGTCAAAATGATCCTAATTGATTTAAAACACCTCGATGTTATTGGATAAAGGCGAAACGAGTTGATAATATTAATTGAGATGTTTTCCAGAAAATTCTAAGACTTTAAAATATGGGAAAACTTAATTGGTATGAATTATAACGATTCTAATTGATCAAAAATAACTTAAGGATGATGAAAAATTTAAAAAAAATTGATTGTGATTTTTTTGAAAGTACTTCAAAGATGCCAAAAAACAGAAAAAGCTTGTCAAAATGATCCTAATCGATTTAAAACACCACGATGTTATTTTGAAAAGCCAAAACGAGTTGATAATATTAATTGAGATGTTTTCCAGAAAATTCTAAAGCTTTAAAATATGGGAAAACTCTATTGGTATGAATCACAACGATTCTAATCGCTTAAAACCATCTTAGAGATACTTAAGGATGATGAAAAATTAAAAAAAATTGATTTTGATTTTTTTTGAAAGTATTTTAAATATATCAGAAAACAGAAAAAGCTTTTTGGTGTGCGTCCAAATGATCCTAATCCATTTAAAACACCTCGATGTTATTTGGAAAAGCCAAAACGAGTTGATAATATTAATTGGGATATTTTCCAGAAAATTCTAAGACTTTAAAATATGGGAAAACTTAATTGGTATGAATTATAACGATTCTAATTGATCAAAAATAACTTAAAAATTGATTTTGATTTTTTTGAAGATGCCAAAAAACAGAAAAAGATTGTCAAAATGATCCTAATCGATTTAAAACACCACGATGTTATTTTGAAAAGCCAAAACGAGTTGATAATATTAATTGGGATGTTTTCCAGAAAATTCTAAGACTTAATTGGTGTGATTCTACTCCCTTAAAAACATGGAAACTCAGTTTGATCAATATTATAAAGTAACCTAACCATTTAAAATTGGTTATGAAACACACGCATTAACTTAAAACCTATTTTTAAAGGTTTTTATTGGAGTTGATTACGAAACGCGGTGTAAAATGGATAGTTCCGGATATGGATGATAAAATTTATTTATAATTTTCGTTATTTTTTATTTAATTGCGTTTAAAAAAATTATAAAGAAATCCTTATCAGATTTAGTGATGATAAAGACGCTTATTTTTATATCCAAACCACATTATTATTCAAAATTCCAAAAAATTTTACACAATCAATACTTAGAAAATTGTAACGTTAAATATGTTTTAAACGTATTCTTATTTAGCAAGGTTAAATTTTTTTTATTATAGTAAGGTTATTTTTAAAATTTGCACACGGTGTAAAAAGCGAAATTAATTAATTTCGCTTTGATTTCATTTTTGAGTTAGTTTTGAATCGATTTTCACGATCTTATATAACCGAATCGTATGTTTTAAAAAACCTTCGCGAAAATGTCACGGGCCACGCGGCCGTCGGCCCGAAATAGCCCCGATTTCGGGCTGCTCCTCATCGCATTTCAGGCCCGCCAACTGCTTTTACATAATCATCGATAAAATGCACCGATAAAATTTGAATTGATAAAGCTCTTTTTTCCCTATTCTACTAGTGGTAGTGTTAGTTTGCAAAATCAATACTGCGTTTCCGTCATCAACCACCACCACCACCGTTTCCCCGACCTAAACCAAAACCATCCCTTTACCATTCATCCCCCCCCTTACACATCTCACCCCTCTCGGGGGCTCGATATCCTACTTTGTACCAACCCCCTCTACATGAAAATCGATAATTCTAACTTTAAAATTAAATCCTAGATTTTTTTAGTTATGTAATAATTTTAGTTTCGGGGATTTTTTTGAAAAAAGAAGAAAAATGTTTTATCGCCTAATTATTTATTTTTTTTTTTTACCTTCATGTTGTGTTCCACGAGTGTTTCGAATGAGCATAGCGTGTAGACGATGTACGCCCTGAGGAGTTCCCACGTTGTCTTGCTCTTGAAGGCCGCTTTAGCATCTTCGAATGTGATATCGAGGGGATCTTTCGGTGACGACGATGACGTTTGGGATGGTTGAAGAACGGCGGCGGTCGATTTGTGGCGTCTATGGTGATCGAATGTGGAGGCCGTTGTGGAGGAGGCGCCGAAACGGCTACAAACGAACCGGTCGCCGTGATGGGCTCCGAGGCGGAGGGCCGAACGCAAGAAAGCCATTTAAAAATATCCCAATTCGTTAAAGAAATCCACACAATTTAATTTTTTCTTCAAAAACAGTTTTATATATCTCACTCGATTGATTTATTTATTTATTTTTTAATTGGTTTATATACTGTTTTTTTTAGATATTGTATTGGGGGGCGACGCGTCGGAGCGCACGGCCGGACGAAGACTGGGCAACGACGGCGGTGACGATGACGACGTTAACGTTGATGGTGGTGGTGGTGGTAGTGGTGGTGGTGGCGGCGGCGGCGCGGTTGGGTGCCTGCCGGAACCGGTCTCCGGTCGGAAACGCGCTTGCGCACTCGGTTTTTCACGATTTTAAAACGCGGTCAATTGTCACAACGTTTCGCCGTTGACGGAAACGCGACACGCGAACGTCAACGTTTTTTTTTATGATAGTTGTCTTGGCAACAACGAAAAATGTTAACACAAAACGATCATAGAGTTATGCCGTGCGTCCTTGACTATTTCTAACGAAAAATGAGTTAAAGATGAAACGTCAAAAAATGTCACTTTAAGACGCGACGCATATAGATAGCGCCATCTGCCGAAAAAATCTTAAAATAGACGTTTGTAACTATCTTCTCATCATGTCAAACATTTTAACCTAATTTAGAACCACGACAAACGCGAATTTCTATTTGATTTTGTTTATAACGTAAAACGTGTACCAGTGACTAAAACGAGCTTCGATGACGTAAATTTCTTTTTAACTTTATTTCTAAAACTGATTGAGTCAAATAAATTTTTTAAAGAATCGTCAAAATAATGTCATTTGAAAAAGTGAGGTTAGCTTGTGTTGGAAAAGTGATTAAACATTCTCAACATTATTCTTTAGCACAGCTTTAAACTAACACGGCCGTTTTCGAAGACATCGGCCGCCCCCGGCCTTCGCGGGCGCTAAAACATTCAAAACCTTGAGTATGATCTCTACTCACATTAGTGTGAATGAACATTTCGTGTTCTCGGGGGCGGCCGATGTCTTCGAAAACGGCCGTGTTAGTTTAAAATTGTGCTGGGAAATGTGTTACTTTTGTTTATTTATCTGTACGTCCCAACCTCAATTTTCCAATTAAATCTAACCTCACTTTTCCAAGTGACATTTTTTGACGTTTCATAAAGTTACTTTGTTCCCCGATTTTATAGTACGAAAAAACTTGAACTTTGAACAGATGGTAGCCTGATGTGTTCTTAATGAGTGGCATATTTTATTTTTTCGATATTCCACTCAGTTTCGCGGATAATCGCGGTTTAGTAACCACAACTGTCTGCAATCTTCATCCAGAAATATGTGGTGACGTCAACAGTTTTATCGTTTAAAAAAATGTCTTCGATTAGCTTCCATGACAATACCTAACTAATAAAAAATGTATCGGAAAAAGGATGAATCATGAATAATTAAGGAGGTCGAAACGACAAATACTTTTGTGTTTGATAAGAGTTAAAACAGGAAATTGTTAGATTCCTATAAAATATTTGATTATATGAAGTTATTTCTTTTCACGTTTAACGTATATTAATGTAAATTCGTTATTTTTTTCTGATTACAAAAACATTGGGTTCGACAGGTCTATTTCTTATTGTTTTAGAATAAAGATAAAAAAAAACTTAGTGAAATACAAGAAATTAAATTTACAGTTTTCTGTAATTACGGTTTACTGTTTTACCATAACTAAAAATTAAAAAAAAAAAACATATTTCTCCAATCCAAAACAATGTAATCGATTGAATATTGTCGTATTAACAGTTGGTGTAATAAACTTAATTGTTTATTTATATCCCGTAATTCACAAGAAACTGTAAATTTCATATCTTCAATGACACTAGATTTCAGCGGCGTTTAGAAATTTTATAAAAAAAAGTTTATTTTTAGATTTATTCTAAAACAATAAGAAATAGACCTGTCGAACCCTATATTTTGTAATCAGAAAAAAATAACGAATTATAAAAATCTAAATTAAACGTCCCTCTTTGTTAATAAACAAATGATAAGTCGCGTCGGTAAGTTAGATAACAACGGTTTGTTTGTATTGCATCATTAGTTGACAGTTTTTGGAGCAACGCGGTTTAAATTCGATAAAAATCGATGTAAATCAACCTGGTGAATTCAAAACTTTATCTAAATCGATTCCCGGGATAACAAAGTAAGTGTTTTAATACATTTTATTAAATAATATTGAGAAAATAATTCAAAAACTTAATTTAAGTAGATCTCAAGAACATAGATATAAAATTTTATGGATTGCTAAATGGATTTGTATTAATTCGTTTTTAAATTTATAAAACTTCTTAATACATACTTAAATTACACTTAATTAAGTCAATTAAAGTCGTTTTTATTAATAAATAAAAATAAAATGGCTCGAAAATTACTTCGAAAGTAAAAGTCGATCTATGGTGTTATGTTAGTGGCTCAATTATTCTAAGGTTGAAACTGGTTTTAAATCGAAAAAACTCTGTGGTGAATCAAATAACCTTTATGAATCGATTCCTGGGGCATTAAATTAAGTATTTCAATAAATTGTTTTGAATAATATTTAATTTAAAAAGTGTAATTTATGAAAATCTAAATTGAACATCACTCTTTGTTAATAAACAAATGACACATCGCGTCGGTAAGTTAGATAACAAGGATTTGTTTGTATTGCATCATTAATTGACACTTTTTGGTGAAGCGCGGTTTAAATTCGATAAAAATCGTGTTAAATCAACGTAGTGAATTCAAAATTTTATCTAAATCGATTCTCGGGATAACAAAGTAAGTGTTTTAATACATTTTATTAAAAGATATTGAGAAAATAATTCAAAATCTCAATTTGAGTTGATCCCGAGAACATGGATATAAAATTTTATGGATTACTAAAAAATTTACTCATGAATTCGTTTTTAAATTTATAAAATTTCTTAATACTTACTTAAATTACACTTAATTAAGTCAATTAAAGTCGTTTTTATTAATAAATAAAAATAAAATGACTCGAAAATTACTTCGAAAGTTAAAGTCGATCTATAGTGTTATGGTAGTGGCTCAATGATTCCAGGGTTGAAACTGGTTTTAAATCGAAAAAACTCTGTGGTGAATTAAATAACCTTTATGAATCGATTCCTGCGTTATTAAATTAAGTATTTCAATTAATTGTTTTGAATAATATTTAATTTAAAAAGTGTAATTTATGAAAATCTAAATTAAACCTCTCTTCCTTAATAAACAAATGACAAGTCGCGTCGGTAAGTTAGATAACTTTAGTTTATAACAAGTTGAAAACGTCAAATTAATATCAAAATCATAAATAAAAATTCCACGACATTAAAAAATTTTTTTATAAGATAATTTTATAACAAATTAATTAAGATCAATTATTATTAATACAAATAAATTAATTTTAATTAATAATAACTTATAAAAAGAAATTTTTAATGTTGGGGAATTTTTATTTATTGATGTTGGTATTAATTTGACGTTTTTAAGAAGTTATTTCAAGCGGTAAATTAATTATGATTTANATGTTAGTGGCTCAATGATTCTAAGGTTGAAACTGGTTTTAAATCGAAAAAACTCTGGTGAATCAAATAACCTTTATGAATCGATTCCTGGGGTATTAAATTAAGTATTTCAATTAATTGTTTTGAATAATATTTAATTTAAAAAGTGTAATTTATGAAAATCTAAATTAAACATCACTCTTTGTTAATAAACAAATGACAGGTCGCGTCGGTAAGTTAGATAACAACGGTTTGTTTGTATTGCATCATTAATTGACACTTTTTGGAGCAACGCGGTTTAAATTCGATAAAAATCGATGTAAATCAACGTGGTGAATTCAAAACTTTATCTAAATCGATTCTCGGGATAACAAAGTAAGTGTTTTAATACATTTTATTAAATACTATTGAAAAAATAATTCAAAAACTCAATTTAAGTAGATTCCAAGAACATAAATATAAAATTTTATGGATTACCAAACAATTAATTCATTAATTCGTTTTTAAATTTATAAAAGTTTTTAATACTTACTTAAATTACACTTAATTAAGTCAATTAAAGTCGTTTTTATTAATAAATAAAAATAAAATGGCTCGAAAATTACTTCGAAAGTAAAAGTCGATCTATGGTGTTATGTTAGTGCCTCAATGATTCTAAGGTTGAAACTGGTTTTAAATCGAAAAAACTCTGGTGAATCAAATAACCTTTATGAATCGATTCCTGGGGTATTAAATTAAGTATTTCAATTAATTGTTTTGAATAATATTTAATTTAAAAAGTGTAATTTATGAAAATCTAAATTAAACATCACTCTTTGTTAATAAACAAATGACAGGTCGCGTCGGTAAGTTAGATAACAACGGTTTGTTTGTATTGCATCATTAATTGACACTTTTTGGAGCAACGCGGTTTAAATTCGATAAAAATCGATGTAAATCAACGTGGTGAATTCAAAACTTTATCTAAATCGATTCTCGGGATAACAAAGTAAGTGTTTTAATACATTTTATTAAATACTATTGAAAAAATAATTCAAAAACTCAATTTAAGTAGATTCCAAGAACATAAATATAAAATTTTATGGATTACCAAACAATTAATTCATTAATTCGTTTTTAAATTTATAAAAGTTTTTAATACTTACTTAAATTACACTTAATTAAGTCAATTAAAGTCGTTTTTATTAATAAATAAAAATAAAATGGCTCGAAAATTACTTCGAAAGTAAAAGTCGATCTATAGTGTTATGTTAGTGGCTCAATGATTCCAGGGTTGAAACTGGTTTTAAATCGAAAAAACTCTGTGGTGAATCAAATAACCTTTATGAATCGATTCCTGGGGTATTAAATTAAGTATTTCAATTAATTGTTTTGAATAATATTTAATTTAAAAAGTGTAATTTATAAAAATCTAAATTAAACATCTCTCTTTGTTAATAAACAAATGACAAGTCGCGTCGGTAAGATAGATAACTTTAGTTTATAACAAGTTGAAAACGTCAAATTAATATCAAGATCATAAATAAAAATTCCACGACATTAAAAAATTTTTTTATAAGATAATTTTATAACAAATTAATTAAGATCAATTATTATTAATACAAATAAATTAATTTTAATTAATAATATTAATAATAACTTATAAAAACAAATTTTTAATGTTGGGGAATTTTTATTTATTGATGTTGGTATTAATTTGACGTTTTTAAGAAGTTATTTCAAGCGGTAAATTAATTATGATTTAATTAATTAATTCACGGTTAAAATTAATTTATATATCTTTCTAATTAATTAATATTTCAATCTATTAGTAATCGAATTATTATACTAACGTTGTTTTTATCTTTTTTAGGTTATGTTCATTTATAAATGTCATCTGTCATTAAGATAAATTCTATTAAAAAACCACAACAATGAAAAGATTTGCGTTAATTTTAATATGTTGTGTTAATTTATTAGTGAATGAGGCTTACATAAACACCACAGTAATTAACGGAAAGTTAAACCAGAGTATTTCAGTAAATGTAACCAAATATTTAGAATATATAATCGATTACGATCGTGTTCAGGTAAATTTTTTTGAGTTATTTAATCAATTTTTACATCAATTTAATAATTGCAGACAAATACACCAATTCGTATAACAGTTGGAAGTTATAATGCAAAAAGAGGTGCCCCTGCTATAATCGTAGTTCGACAAAAACAAAACGTCTTATCTTGGCAATTACCAATGATAGTCGACCCGGGTTCGACAAATTTAGAATATCAAGAAAGTGGAAGAACTTTATGTTATGATAGCACTAAAATGGAAAGTTTTACGTTTCGTCCAAACCTTTACGAAGAGCCCATCATAACAATTTCAACCTCCTCGGAACATCAAGTAAGCGTTTCCGTTGTTACGGAACCAGAGGAAGATTTTTTTTTGGAACCATCGAAAAATTACAGCGTTGTTATCTCTCCGAGCACCCCAAGATTTTATTATTACGGATTTCCCGCTTCGAATTCAACGACTAGTAATTACGACACGGTTATTTTAGAATTAGTTTCGACGAATTTTATTTGTATGACCGTTAGTTTACAAAATGCAACGGTAATTAAGTAAATTTAGTGATTAATTAATTCGATTAATTCATTTTTATCGATTTTTAGTGTCCTGTTAAAGATTTAAACGACGACATAACCTTTCAAGGTCATTACGAGACTGTTGGGAATAAAGGTGGGATAACAATTTCAAAATCGAAGTTTCCCAAAGGATTTTTCTTGGTTTTTGTGGCAAAAGGAAACGATTTCGATTGTACGGGAAGTTTAGAAATTAAAAACGTCTCAACAATGAGAACTAAGCCCATCTCGTTTATGATTAAGCCTAGTATTACTTACAACGATTATTTCAACGCGGTTGTTGTGACTTTGGCAACAATAACTGCTTTTTATGTCATGTTTGGAATTAGTTTGTGTATTTGTAATCATAGATGTTATAAACCAAGAACTATGGAATATGTGCACACGAATGACTCAGAAACTTCAACTCCAAGTGTTTCAAGAGGTACTAAATTAATTTATTAATTTATTTGTCCACGACTACCTTTTATAAATGAGTTTTCTAAAACAAAAAGGTAGATATTTTTCAGAGAGTGAATAATAATTATTTGAAACGTCAAAATTTCAAAAAACGTCAATTATTTTAACTTTTTTAGGTTTTACATTAAAAAAACGTAAACAAATTCCTTTTTTCCTATGATTTAAGCATAAATTAATTAATTTTCGTAAAAAAAATATGACGTTTCATAAAATTGACGTTTAATTTTGACAAATTGTTGTGAAGTTGGTTACAGTTGGTAACATTGAATTTGTGTCATATTGACGTTTAACTTTATTTAAAAATACTGAGGGCTATTATCAAGGTTTGTATATAAGAGGTTTATACGCAACCATACTGCGCATTACGTCATTGGCTACAAATAATACCAGGAAATAATTCAAATTTTTTAAATAATGTAAATGAATTTGTTTAATATATTTAATGTGGTATATAATTAACAGCGGTAGTAAAACGCTCAATTTTTGATATAAATTCACTTATCATGAAATAATTGAGGGAAACTAAAGTAGTAATTGATTTATGTTAACACTAGAGAAGACACTTCAACTCTCACTAAACCTGACCTTGAGGTTGCGCGCGCAATCCGTGGCCACTTACGTCACGAAACACACCTACTCGTGCCCCCCGCCATCAAACTAAAATCAAAGTATTGCAGCATAGGAACTTAAACAACCTTTAATATACAGGGTGATTCAAAAAACCGCTGACAGACTTCTAGGGCAGGTAATACATCAAAAATTAAGATGAATAGTCTTAATATAACGACATATAGCGGGTAAAAGTTTCTTTAAAATTAAACATTATCTGCAATAAAAAGCCCTTTTTTAAAAATACTTTAACTCCACCGCTAATTTTGTCAAACGGGCAGTATTTTCGTGTAATGTGATCAATTATCTATCAATTGGTCTCTTACAAAACTTTGATTAAAGCAACAAATTTTCTACAAACGTGTTTTTCTTGGAAACTATTGTTTTGATCAAAGTTTTGTAAGAAACTAATTGATAGATAATTGATCACTTTACACGCGTAGAGAGTAATGGCGTAGACAATATTTTTAAAAAAGTACTTTTTGTAGCAGATAATGTTTAATTTTAAAGAAACTTTGATCCACTATATCTCGCCAACGAGGCATTTGCGACCCCGTGTATATTAAGACTATTCATCTTATTTTTTCGTGTATTATCTACTCTAGAAGTCTGTCAGCGGTTTTTTGAGTCACCTGTATAAACCTTGGGCTATTATTGACTAAGGTTAAGTTTATGTCACGAGTGTAGCGAGCATTATATGCTCGTATAATAATATATTTTTATTAAACACTCACAATAATACACAAGTACAAAAAAATTAAATAGTAATTCGCTTTCTCGTGGCTTTAAATAATGTTAGAATATTTGACATGGTGAGAATATAGTTACCAACGTTCATTTTTAGACTTTTTGCGACAGATGGCGCTATCTCCTATGCGTCTTTATCAAATGTCATTTTTTGACGTTTTATTAAAAAAAATTTATTTAACTGATTTCGGGTTAGAAATAAAACTAAAACTAGAAATTTTGAGGTTATTACCCTAAAATTTGTAGTTTTATTTCTTATTCCATCGGCAGTAACGGTTGTGAATAATGTCACTTGGAAAAGTGAAATGCCAGTAAAGATCCAACTCAAGGTTTTCATGTTTACACGCGCGCGATGGCTGGGGGCGGCCGATGTCTTCGAAAACGGCCGTGTTGGTACTCGAAAATGATGGTGAGATGTTGACATGTTGTGATTTTTAATCACTTTTCCAACACAACCTAACCTCACTTTTTCAAATGACATTTTTTTGACGTTTCATTAGAAAAATTTATTTAACTCACTCAGTTTTACAAATAAAACTAAAAAGAAATTTGCGTCATAGAAGCTTGTTTTAGTCACTCGTACACGTTTTACGTTTTAAAGAAAATCAAATATTAATTCGTATTTATCGTGGTTCTAAATTAGATTAAAATATTTGACATGATGAGAAGATAGTTACAAACGTATATTTTAAGGCTTTTTTCGGTAGGTGGCGCTATCTCCTATCTTAAAGTGACATTTTGTGACGTTTCATTAAGGGAAATTTATTCAACTCATTTTGCGTTAGAAAAAACGATTTAAGTGAGGTTAGATTTAATTGGAAAAGTGAGGTTGGGACGAACAGATATATAAACGAAAATAACACATTTCCCAGTACAGTTTTATGTTGTCGAAGACATCGGCCGCCCCCGAAAACACGAAATGTCATTCTCACCAATGCGTAAAAAAATAATGCGTAATTTTCGTAAAAAAAAAATATGACGATTCATAACCATAACATTGACATTTGTTGTGAAGTTAGTTACAGTTGGTAACATTAAATTTGTGTCACATTGACGTTTAAATTCTTTCTAAAATTTATTTAAAAAATAGGTGTTTTTTTAAGCCAGATAGAACTTTGGAGAGGGTTAACTGTTAAACGAACTGTCATACAGCGCTCACTTTTTGATATTTATGATCAGTATACTCTGGAAAATCATCATGAACAGATTGACGCTTGAACTACCAAATTATCCAGATTTACTTTGAAAATCAGTAATCAATTCGCACAACTTATAGACGACTTCGTGATTTGCATGGCGCACATAATCGTCCATCTGAGCAAGCCATCCGTCGACCTGCGGATAGATTTCATACCACATACTCTCTAAATGATGCAATAACACCAACACGTCAAAGGCCACTACGTGGAAAATTTTGCGCAAAGACCTGTTTAAGATCCAGCTGGTGCAGGAATAAAAGCCACGAGACCATTATATACGTCGTTCTTTCGCCGATTGGGCCCTAGAGCAGTTGGAAACTGATCCCATGTTTTATCGTAAAATTGTGTTCAGCCATGAGGTTCATTTTTGGCTTAATCGGTTTGTTAATAATCAAAATTGCCGCATATGGAGTGAAACCAATCCACAACAGACCCAACAAACTCCCTTACATCCAGAAAGATGTACCGTTTGGTGTGGTTTGCACGCTGGTGGCATCATTGGACCTTATTTCTTCAAAAATGAAGCCGGAGCTCGCGTTACAGTCAATGGAGATCGTTACTGCACCATAATCAATGATTTTTTGTTTGAAAACATGAATGACATTGATCTGGGCGAGATGTGGTTTCAGCAGGACGTCGCTATTTCGGTCATGCGATTTGACACCTCTTGACTATTTCCTGTGACGCGAAGTCATTGGTTTATGCTGATAAAACAGCAACAATTGACACTTTGGAGGCCAACATTGTTCCTGTTATTCGTGACTACTGCCAGCAATGCGACCCAAAATTGAAATTGTTAATGCCATGTATTGATCTTTCGAACAAAAACATTTTTTTGATTAAAATTTAATTTTTTGTGCTATTTTTTTCAATATAAAATTCTATCGGGCTTAAAAAAACACCAGTATATGAAATCAATTTCAACAGTAGTCGTGGACAAATCATAGTATTCCACTCACATATAATAAGTTATTATTCACTCAGGCTCAACTTAACCTTAATGAAAAATAACCCTCATTATAGCTCGTATAATAATATATTGATTATTTTTTAATAATTTTGTTTTAGTTACTTTAGAAAGGGAAGATGCAATATCATTTAACGACTCAGAATATGATACTTTGGACGATATTAACCAACACCGCGAATTAATCGCCGGGAAACCCAACATTTTCGTCAGCGATTTAGCCCGCAAGAAACAACACGTTTTAATTAAACGTTCGTATTCGTATCTTTGGCACGTGTTAACTGTTGGGCTTTTTTATCTACTTCCTGTGGTGCAACTTGTTATAACGTATCAAAAAGTCCTCAATGATACCGGAAATCAAGATTTATGTTACTACAATTTTTTGTGCGCTCACCCTTTTGGATTTTTTAGCGATTTTAATCATTTATTTTCGAATATTGGTTATGTTTTATTTGGATTGTTGTTCTTATGGATTACTTATAGGAGAGAGAAGTGGCATCAAGATTTAATTTTTGATAGGGTAAATTTATTTATTTATATAATTTAAGTTAATTGACATTTAGTAGGTGGCGCCATCTCTTATACGTTTTTAGACGCACGGCTGAAACTTTCTAGATTTATTGTTAGTGATAGTTGTAGTAAATTACTGTATATTTTTATTGAACAATAAGCAGAACTAACATTAGACCTAGAACTAGAAACATTCGGGTTTAGTATGAATTAAACTTAAAAAACTTGATAACTGACGTCTGTCAAAATGATGTGTGTTAACTGCTACATTATCAATTTTTAATCATTGTGATAACGTCCTATACTACAATTTATTGATGTTCAGAACAAAGAAGAAGACAAATAGAAATTTTGACAGTTGCCATTTATTAAAATAACAACTGATTATTCATTTTATTATTAAGTTTTGAGCCGATAACATCGGGTTCTACAACGAAAATTATTAATTTGGAGCATACAGACATTATATGCGAAAAATAGAAATTTTGACGGTTGACATCTGTCAAATTGGTAATTATTTATCGACACATAATAATGCTAAATAAACGTACAAAAAAATTTCTTTTAAAATTAAAATAAATTGACATTTCGTATGTGGCGCCATCTCTTATCTTAATCTTTAACTAAAAAATTTGACACATCAACATAACCTAACTATTTTTTTGAAAATTTTTAAATTAAATTTAATTTTTATAATTTATTGCAAATAAAATTAATTTTTTTAATTGTTTTTAGACTTACGGTGTGCCACAACATTACGGATTATTTTACGCCATCGGATTTGCTTTAATAATGGAAGGATTGTTATCGGGAAGTTACCACATTTGCCCGAACCATTCAAATTTCCAATTCGACACGAGTTTTATGTATGTAACCGCCGTTTTATGTATGATTAAGATCTATCAAACGAGACATCCCGATATTAACGCTAGCGCTTACTCCACTTTTGGTATTTTAGCGGTTGCAATACTTTTAGGTTAGAAATGTAGTTTTTGTTTGTTAAATAAACATTAATAACAAATTTGTTTTTAGGCATGATTGGAATTTTAGAGGCTAATAATTGGTTTTGGATATTTTTTACCATCATTCACATCTTAACTTGTTCTTATTTAACAGTTAAAGTCTATTATATGGGTTTTTGTAGCTTTGGTGGGTTACTAATTAACCATATTGTATTAAGGTTTTAATATTTAGTTTAATTTTTAAGATATGGGAATGTTTTTAAGAGCGTTTCGGACGTTTCATCAAGATTTTAGAGCTGGATTTATATATATTTTTATGCCTTTACATAAAAGTAAGTTTATTTGTTACTAATTTTGTAACAATCTACTAATTTATGTTTGAATTAAAATAGGTCGCATGATTTTATTGATCATCGGGAACATTTTAAATTGGAGCATGGCTGCTTATGGAATTTACAGTGAAGCTGACTTTGCTGTTTACCTTTTAGGTTTATTCATGTTGAACACCGTGTATTATTTTACATTCTACATCATTATGAAGGTAAGAAGTTATAAATTATTACATTAGTATATAATGAGGGTTATTATTCATTAAGGTTAAGTTTACACTAATTAACTTGAGTGAATAATAGCTCATTATATGTGAGTAGAATACTTTGTCCATGACTACTATTGAAATTGGTTCCATAAATTTATTTTTTAAATAAAGTTTAAACGTCAATGTGACACAAATTCAATGTTACCAACTGTAACCAACTTCACAACAATTTAAATGTCAATTTTATGAGACGTCATATTTTTTTACGAAAATTATTTAATTTATGCTTCAATTCTACGAAAAAAGGAATTTGTTTACGTTTTTTAACATCAAACCGATTCATAAGAAGCGATCTCGCATGAAATAGCCACAAAAAGTAAACTCGCTCACAAGATACGAAACCCAACCTAACCTCACTTTTTCAAGTGTCATTTTTCACAACCGTTACCGCCGATGGAATAAGAAATAAAACTAAAACTAGAAATTTTACTTAAAATTTGTAGTTTTAGTTTTATTTCTAACGCAAAGAGTTAAATAATTTTTTTTTAATGAAACGTCAAAAAATGTTACTTTAAGACGCATAGGAGATAGCGCCATCTGTCAGGAAAAGCCTTAAAATATGCGTTTGTAACTATCTTCTCATCATGTCAAATATTTTAACCTAATTTTAGAACCACGATAAACGTAAATTATTATTTGATTTTCTTTTTAACGCAAAACGTGTACGAGTCACTAAAACGAGGTTCTATGACGCAAATTTCTTTTTAGTTTTAAATCTAAAACTGAGTGAGTTAAATAAATCTTTTTAATGAAACGACAAAAAAATGTCATTTGAAAAAGTGAGGTTAGGTTGTGTTGGAAAAAATGGGATTAAAAATCCTCTACATTTAAGATAAACGTCGTCTTTATACTCCAAGAAATAAACCGGAAATGATTTTTTAAAAACATCGATATTAATTAAAAATGTCCAACTTCTTTATAGCTACTTTTTTTCAAAATTCCTTTCTTAAGAAATTTTATCATCTAACATATATCTTAGAATATATCATTTTAAAGAGAACATTTTAATCTTTAATTTAACATAAACATCGTCTTTGTATTCCAAGAAATAAACCGGAAATGATTTTTTAAAAACATCGATATCAATTGCAAATTTGCTTCAACATCTTCATCCATACTTTTTTCAAATTCTTTTTTTTAAGAAATTTTATCATCTAACATATATCTTGGTACATATCATTTTAAAGAGGACATTTTAATCTTTAATTTAACATAAACATCGTCTTTGTACTCCAAGAAATAAACCGGAAGTGATTTTTTAAAAACATCGATATCAATGAAAAATTTTCTCCAATCTCTTCAAACATAATTTTTTCAAAATTTTTTTTCTAAGAAATTTTATCATTTAACATATATTTCAGAATATATCATTTTAAAGAGGACATTTTAATCTTTAATTTAAGATAAACATAATCTTTGTAGTCCAATAAATAAACCGGAAGTGATTTTTTAAAAACATCGATATCAATGAAAAATTTTCTCCAATCTCTCCAAACATAATTTTTTCAAAATTTTTTTTCTAAGAAATTTTATCATTTAACATATATTTTAGAATATATCATTTTAAAGAGAACATTTTAATCTTTAATTTAACATAAACGTTGTCTTTGTACTCCAAGAAATAAACCGGAAGTGATTTTTTAAAAACATCGATATCAATGAAAAATTTGCTTCAACATCTTCATCCATACTTTTTTCAAATTCTTTTTTTTAAGAAATTTTATCCTCTAACATATATCTTGGTACATATCATTTTAAAGAGGACATTTTAACCTTTAATTTAATATAAACATCGTCTTTATACTCCAACAAATAAACCGGAAGTGATTTTTTAAAAACATCGATATCAATGAAAAATTTTCTCCAATCTCTTCATACATAATTTTTTTCAAAATTGATTTTCTAAGAAATTTTATCATCTAACATATATCTTAGAATATATCGTCTTCAAGAGGACATTTTAATCTTTAATTTAACATAAACATCGTCTTTATACTCCAATAAATAAACCGGAAGTGATTTTTTAAGAACATCAATATCAATGAAAAATTTTCTCCAATCTCTTCATACATAATTTTTTCAAAATACGTTTCAAATAATTATTCGTCGTATATCTATATTATATGCTTAAAAAAACTCATCTATTATAAGGTAGTCGTGGACAAATAACTTTATAAACATTTATGTTTATTAATCAATAATTTTTTGTTTTTAGTTATTACACAAAGAAAAAATTAACTCGCTAACCATCTTATTTTTAACGATCTCCTTAACATGCGCCGTTATATCGATGTATTGCTTCTTTCACAAATCGATTTCGTGGTCGGTAAGTACAAAAAATGATTATTAATCGATTCTTTTCTATGAAATTATTTTAATAGTTAACCCCAGCCGAATCTAGATTTTACAACCAAGAGTGCATTTTGATGCGATTTTACGATTACCACGATTTGTGGCACTTTTTAAGCTCAATCGGCATGTTTTTTATGTTTATGGTGTTATTGACGTTGGATGATGATCTTTCGCACACACCTCGTTCAGAAATACCGGTATTTTGATACAATGGACTGATTTTAAACGTCGATATTAATATTTAGATTTAAAACTTTGTGAGAAAGAGGTGTGATACATAAAAAAAGGATGTTATTAAACCTTAGTTAGGATTATGATACGTTAAATAATTCTTTATTCATCTCACAATTAATCCTAGTATCAAATTCCTCGATATCCTGGGCAAAATCAAAATGTCTTAGCTTATGTATGTTGTTTTAATAATTCTAGAAACATCTTATTTATGGAATTATATTTGTAAGTACCAAAAAAGGAGAACTAAAGAAATTAAATTAAAAATCACATCGGAAAATGGTGTGAATAGGTTATAAAACATATCAACAAAGTTATAACATTTTAAAACCGCTTTTCAGCTGGTTTGGCCAACTCAATAATCCTTGGTGTTGCGACGTATTTCATTGCAGCCTTAGAAGGTATTTCGGGGTGATCTTTAATGTGAACACCTTTCGGAAACTTCCACACGCGTGGACTAGCCAATTCATAATCTCTTTTCGTTGCTAAAAATAGAAAATTAAAGTTCAAATTACTACTTTTTACTACTGTATTAACTAACACTATACCTAGAACTAGAATTATTCGGGTTAAAATGTCTACCTCAATTTTGACAGATTTGTAATCTTCATTAAAAATCCTTTAAAATGAGTCCAAACATGATACGTTTAATTCCAATATTACTCGAGATATAAGCAACTTCCGGTTTGAAATGTCAATGTCATTTTGATATTTTTGATTTTTATAAAATGTGTTAAAATTTGTCACAAAAACACAAATGTAATAAAAGAAATCAAAAATTAAGGTTGGTATTAATATTTAAAAATTGAATTGTTATCTTCATTGTTGCTAACTTCGTGTTTATTGTCTTTTACTCTAACTTTTTTGTTTTTTTGAGATAAGTACGTCATATTTGGGCTAATTTTAAAGGTTATTTTATAAAGAGTACAAACATCATGAAAGAACACCATGAAGTTGTCTATTATACAGTGTGTCCCAGAATAGATGTTACAAGAGGTATAATGACTTAAAAATTTTTGAAACTTATTTTAAGGCTACGGAATTAAACCCTGCTTGGTGTGAAGAGAATTTCAAGAATATTTTAATATTTTGAAAATAAAGGCGGCTTTGATAATGAATCGAAAACTATTTTTAGTTTAGGTATCTTTAGTCATCTTTTTGTTGAAGATACGGAAAAATTTTATTAAGAAAAGTTGTCCTATACAAAATTTCAGAAGGATCTATCTACTTTGGTTGAACCATCACATTTTTAGTTTAAATAACATAAATAATAAAAACTGATGGATAATACAATTTATCTGTCAATATTTGCAACTACTAAAATATGGTGGTTTAATTAATGTAGGTAGATCTTTTTGAAATTTTGAATAGTGCCATAATTTCTCATTCTGAACAACTTTTCTTAATGATATTTTGCCGTATCATGAACAAAAAGCTTACTTTACCTGAACTCAAAATAGTTTTCGCTTCACTATTGTGGAAAATTTAGAATGAATTAAACGAAGCCAGGGGAATCCCTGGTTGCGTGGAACACATCGGCGCAGCGACAACCGATAAGCAGTACCACTCGAACCAGCGAGGTGAAATGTTCGAAGCGCATCGCACCCCTATTATATTATATTATGTTTTATTTTCTGTTATTTCTATCTAAAGTTACTTATTGTGTTTAAAAGAGTAAATAAGTAAGCTTTTTATGAACCGTGGTGCGTTTTATTAAAACTATTTCCACAACTACCTC